GAAATGATGAAGGTCTCTACTAGTTTTTATCATTTTCTTTTTTTTTTAAGTTTTTATCATTTTCTAGAACTTTTACCAATATATTGTAACTTATGACCATATAGGTGAGAAAGGAATGAGGTTCTGAGCTAGGCACTTCCTTTCTCTTAATCTTTGTGACAATTCTGCAAAGGAAGTACAGTAAGTAGCATTGCCTTTTCTTTCTAGTTGAGAAAATGGTCTCAGAGAGTGAAGTAATCAGATTAGCATCATGTTGCTGGCATAGAAATCCAAGTTTGTCTGGCTCCAAATGATCACATTCTTTTCACTGCTCTGTGCTTCTTCCAATAAGAAAGCTATGAAACTGTGTTTACTAAAAGCTATTCTGTGGAACAATAATGCAGCAAGACATTCCCCAAATATAAGTGGATGCCATGGTTGAGCAACTTTGGGGAAATGGCAACCATACTAAAGGCAGTGAAGTATTGCATGAAAGAAATGTTTAAGCTGGGTGAGGTGGTAAACACCTGCAATCTTAGCACTCTGGAAGGCCAAGACAGGAGGATCCCAAGTTTGAGTCCAGTCTGTGCAATTTAGCAACTTAGCAAGACAGTCTCAAAAAATAAATAAATAAATAAAAAAGGGCTGGAAAATAGCTAAGTGCAAAAGCCCTGGGCTCAACCTACTACCAAAATCAAACAAATACAAAACAAGTTTAATTTTATTAATTAGCTTTTCCCCAAACTCCTTGGACTATGAAACCCAGATTTTTTTTCACTTGATATTCATTAATATCTCTTGAAATTAATTAATATAATCTAGCATATGCTTAAATGACTGAAAAGGGCAAAAAGTTGAGAGATTTAAATTGAAAATTCAATCGACAAAGTAATTAAAATAAAAAAGTTGGGGCCAGGGATTTAGCTCAGTGGTTCCGCTGCTTGCCTCGAAAGCACCAGAACCCGAGTTCAATCCCTGGTACCAATAAATAAATAAATAAATAAATAAATAAAAAAGTAGCAGGTGCAAGGGAAGCATTCTCAAAAGATGCAGTCTGTGCTACCAGGGTAGCTGGGGTGGGAGTGGTTGGTGGATGGAGAGAGTTAGCAGCAAAAAGAGAAATGGCCATGAAATAACACAGCCAGCCTATTTTCAATTTAAGTTTTTAGTAATTCATGTGGGCTGAAGTTGAAGGGAAGAGTGGGGAGAGAAAAGAGGCTTGAGTTGGCCCTTGGCAGATGTTAAGATTTAGCTAGGAGGTGAAGAGGCTGAGAGACACTGAGAGGCGAAACATATTTGGAGTAGAGCAAAAGAAATGATTATCAGGAAGTATGCAAATGGTGCAGGTAGGGTTCGTTCAAGGTATAGAGAGTCATAGAGAAGTCTGTGGGTGATGATGGAAGGAAAAACTAAAATCTGAAAGACCATGTAGAAGGTCAGTTACTGTGGTGGAGTATGACAAGATAGAGTTTTGAATTTTACAACTGGAAAGGATCTTACAGCAAGGCTAATAAATGTCTGTCTAATGAATCAATCATCAAATCCAGTTTCCTCTGCTCTACAGATCTGATAATGGAAGCCCAGAAAGGTTGCTTGATTTTCATGTCACACAGCTCACTAGCAGTATAACTAGGTTGAAAGCTCAGGTTTTTATGAAAACATACAACACTCAGAAATTGAGGACCAAAGAGTTCCAAAGGATGAAAATAAAGAATGTGGAGCATGGCAAGGACATAAACCAGCACATTCATCAGAGGGATGGTTTCTGTTGGCAGAGGTCTATTTACTAGGGCTGAGGGTGTGGCTCAGTAGTAAGACTCCTGCTTAGCACATGTGAACTCCGGGTTAGATCCCCAGCAAACACCCCCCACCCCATTTAAGATAACTACAAAAGCAGTACAGTACTCCTTAGGTGTGGAGGCTGAATAGGCAGAAAACGAGTTAATCCAGTAAACTCAGCTGCTTGCCCCATCAGGTTTCTCTGAACCAGCACGTACTAAGTGACTGTCACATTCTACAGAGGCTTAACTACATGTAAAAGTAAATAAGGCGGCTTTGCCATGAAACATATTTCTTCCTAATGGCCTTTCTTCCCATTCTCGGAGATGATGCACACAGGTGTCCTTATTCTAAGCCTCGAGGGCCTTTTGTGAGAACCAAAATAGTGGACCATGTTAAATTGGCGCCTTTAATGTATAACTATTAACCTAATACGGTGCTCCTGTGAGATAAAGATTGCAGGCTGACCTAAAAGCCTCCTGATGCTTCTTTTGATCACTCTATATCCTTTTCATGTCCTCAAACCCTTATAACAATCTCAGCCTTTTACCTTGAGAGTGCGGTCCTTTCTTAGCCCCATCCACTGCTCTCCTGCAGATTATCAATAAACTCTTTAACTCTTCTAAATTCTTTGACTATTGGTTAATTCTTTTACCACCTGCAGCAGCAGCCTCTCACACACCAAACTCCTTCTCTGCGACAATTTAGCACAGTACTTTGCGGAGGTTGCTGTCAATAAAAGAACAAAAATTATGGCTCTCTCGCCACGCCCTGCAGTCGGTGAACCCCGCGAGGCCCCCGAGGAGTGTGATCGCGAGCGGTTTTGGAGGAGACTGTATGAGACGGACGTGACTGTGGCTTGGGAAGCCACGACCCTGACCATGGTCCCTCCACTGCCGCGGCTCTCTCCACAGGAAACCAACGGGATATGTGAGCAAGTCCATGCTGCCATCAAGGCAATTGCTGCAGTATACTACGCACTTCCCAAGGACCAAGGATCACCCCGAGAAAGCTTGTACGGGGCACCACTCTGGACATCGTGGACGGCATGGCTCAGCTCGTGGAAGTACTTATCGCTCCAGCTCAGAACCCTGAGAACAGACCTTATTTCCTGCAACAGTGTCTGGAATGTGTGCCAGCAGGTGCCTCAGATACCAAGAGATAACAAAGCTGCAGCTCTTTTAATAATGACAAAGAGTGGATTTTGTGAAAGATGCACATGAAGATATGGAGCAGGCTGTGGAAGAGTGTAACCCTTACTTGGGACTCCTGCATGACTCTGAGGAGGACAGCTCTGACAGCTGTGGTGGTGATGAGGAGGAGATGTTGGGCTTTCCAAGCAGTCGGGATGTGCACTGGTCTGAGGAGGACCAAGAGTTCATTGCCCCGTGCCTCGCGCTGGTGAGAGCATCCAAAGCTTGCCTGAAAAAGATCCGGATCCTAGTGGCAGAGAATGGCAAGAAGGACCAAGTGGCTCAGCTGGATGACATTGTAGACATTTCTGAGATCAGGCCCAGCATGGATGATTTGGCTCTAAGCATATATCCGCCTATGTGTCATCTGACTGTGCAAATCAATTCTGTGAAACTTGTATGTGTGTGTGTGTGTGTGTGTGTGTGTGTGTTTTGTACGGGAAATCAAACTCGGGACCTTGCGCTTGCGCAGCAGGCACCAGAACCACTGAACTAAATCCCAGGCCCACTTGTATCTGTTTTAAAACAGGCACTGGAGGTTACAAAAGCAAGTCACGTGACCCCACAGCCAGAAGATAGTTGGATCCCTTTACTCATTAATATTGTTGATCATTGTATGAACAGAATTAAGGAGCTCACGCAGAGTGAAATTGAATTGAGTTTTCGGATTCATTCATACTCTCCTGTCTTCCTCTCTCACTGTCACATCCAGGCTCTGATTCTGCTTTTAAAAATGGACCTAGCAGGACCCAGGATTTAGCTCAGTGGTTCCGACGCCTGCCTCGCAAGCGCAAGGTCCCAAATTTGATCCCTGGTACCAAAAATAAAAATTTTTTAAATTAAAAATAAAAATAGACCTAGCATACCTGCTAAGTGAAAAGAGAGTTCCTGTCTGTATTTAGCAAGAGATTCTACTTCAGAGACTGTTAGGCCAGATTGGCAACTATTTATAAACCATATGAGTATGATATATTTTTCTCTGCTAGATATAAAAGATCATTACATGAGATTCTGTTCCTGAACTGCCTCAGATTCGTAAGGAAGTTACCCTATTTCTTATTCTATTTCGTATATTGTTTCATTGTTAAAGATGTTGATGGTCTCAATAAAATGCTAACCAGCTCCTAGCAAAAAAAAGAACAAAAATTATGAAAAAAAGAAAGATAATTACATTTCTGAAAGGCTTTATCTCAAAAAGCACATGGGAGGATATAACAGAAACGAATATACCCTAGTGATAAGAGTGGCCTGCTAGTATCTTCACTCTGCTATGTCTGCTACAGAGTATTTCGGACACATTCCATATGTATTTGTTTAAAACGCGTGGGGGAGTGATTTCTAAGTAAGATAATAAAAAATGTTAACAGATTGTGGGTAATTTCTTTTTCCGTGTGCTGGGAATTAAACCCACAGTTTCGTGCATACCAAGTACACAGAGCTACAACCCCAAACCCAGGTAAAAAAAATTTCCAGGTAAATTGTTGACGAAAAAGATTAGGTTAGACGGGGATGGGGAATGGGTGAGTACATTTGACCACTACCGCATTAGCATATTTATGAAAATACATAGGAAGGGCAAAAAGAGTTTCCCAAGAAGTCTAGTGCCCCGCTGGGACCTGAAAGAGAGCATGGAAAGAAAAACACCGAGGCCAAGTGTAGCTGCCAATGGGGGAAAGATTATCATTGGGCGGCCCGCAGGAAGGGCCCGCGGTAACGCGGGGACACTCGGGACAATCCCAGCAGAGTCACCCTGCCCGCCGGGACCCGGCGACTCGGGGGCAAAGATCACCCCTCCCGACTACCGAGCAGCCCCACGCGCAGGGCACTGTGGGATTCGTAGTCTTTCCCCCGCGCAGCGCCCGTGGGCGGGGAGACCTTATTTTACGTAACTAAGCCGCTCTTCTCGACGTGGCCTCCCTTTCCCTGCCTCCTCCTCCTCCTCTCACAGGAAGTTTGAAATTCCCGCGGAGCCGGCGCCCCGGTCCGGAACGCTCGCGAGAACTCCGATCCCGGCAGCCGCGATCTCCTCCCGGGTCCCCTCCCTCTGGGGCCTCCCCGTCCCCTCCGCCCCCTCCCGCCCTGCCTGGGTGTGTGTGGGACTCGCTCCGTCCGCCCGGGGTCATGCGCTGATCGGCGCCCGCGCTGTCCGGGCCGAGGCAGCAGAGCCGCGAGGAGGAGGAGAAGGAGGAGGAGCGCTGGGCCCGCGACGGGGAAGGCGGCTGCGTATTCACAGCTGAGCGGTGTGCGGGCCCCAGGCCGGCGATCGAAGGAGCGCGCGCCCGGCCGCGTCTCCCAGGAGATGCTGTGACAGACCCGCGCCTCGCCTCGCGCCCCCGGACTAGGCGGCCGGGTCGCGCTCCCTCTCAGGTACGGCGGGTGGAGGGGCTGGGCCGCGCTGCGGGGCGGGTCGGTGTGGCCTCGGCTCGCGCGGCGCCACGGCCTCCCGCGCTGGGCCTAGGCCGGACGCTGCGCCGTGCGGGGACCCGCGGCCCCGAGGGACGCTTAGATCGGGCCGGAGGCGGCGCGCTTGGGCGGCGACCGGTACCGCAGGGTGGAGGGCCCGGACGCCGGTTATAGAAGGCGGTTCTAGCGGAGCTGCGGCACATGGCGGGGAGGCGTCACGGTGTTGGTTTTCCTTGCGGGCTGCCAGGTCGTCTCTCTCCCTCCCGGGCTGCTTCTCCCCCGGTGCTTGGTTTCTCCCCGGTGCTCGGAGCCGTGGCCAGGCGACCTTTCGGGGATGCTGCCCGTTCTCGCAGACTGTCTTGCGTTGGTGTGTGCTCCGCGTGTTCGGGGGCCTGGTTCGGGGCGGGGAACAAAGTTTAAGTTTGTCTCGTGATTCGAAAATGTGGGGCACGCTTGGGGTGAATTGATCCGATAGAGGATTTTTTTTTTCCCGGTACTAGAGAACTGAACCCAGGACTTTAGCAATGAGCTACATGCCCAGACCTTTTTTGTTTTCATTTTCGAGACTGTGCTAAGTGGGCCACGCCGGGCTCAAACTTGATGTTTCTGCCTCAGCCTCCCAGAGGGCTCCAGTGACCAGCAGGGATTTTTAAATTTAAAATTTGACATTAAACTCAGGACCTTAGCCTTGAGCTTCCCCGGCTTTTTTTATTTCTCGAGACGAGATCCTGGTCTTTTACAGGCAGGGCACGAAGTTGCCAACCTCTTGCCTCAAGATCCCAAGTGCTGGGATCGCGGGTGTGCACCACCCCCTCCGTGGAGTTATTGAAAATAACTTAACGTCCCCGGAGGGTTACACCTGGGAGGTTTAAGGATGATTGATTACTCTTGCCATTGGTTGACTTATTTTTTATTTTGGGGAGAATAGATGAATTTTGTTGTCAGAGTCAGCGAGGTTCATACTGGAGATGTTCAGTTATAGGAAATGAGCGTTATTAATTTTTGTTTAGTTTCGGTGGTGGGAATGGATCCTGGGGCTTCACAATCCTAATAAACATGTGATCTCCCCCTGAGTCACACCCCCTAACTGCTTTTTTAAAAAGTCAATTGGAGGAAGAATGTTGGGTTCTTGATAGGTCTTTTGGAAATTCTGAACTTCAGTTCGTTCTCAATATCCGAAAGAGGCTGTGGTATTTAAAAACTGAGTTTTTTGACCTCTCACTTAAAAGGTCTGTAGGGAGAGAACAGATTAGGGTAGGTGTACTTATTTCCAAGGGCTTGACCGTGGACAAGTGTTCTAAGTGCTGTGGAGAGCCTACATTCTCTTGGTACTGTGATTTTTTTTTTTAACTTTTTTTTTTTTTTTTTTTTGTACTGGGGATCGAACTCGGGTCCTTGCGCTTGCGCAGCAGGCGGTGAAACCACTGAGCTAAATCCCCGGCCCTTGGTACTGTAATTTTTGAAGTGTACAATTTTTTTTTTTTTTTGGTACCGGGGATCGAACCTCGGGACCTTGCGCTTGTGAGGCAGGTGCCGGAACCACTGAGTTAAATCCCCGGCCCAAGTACTGTAATTTTTTATTCTACTTTTTAAGTTCTGTTTTTTCAGTAGCATAGTACTAAAGTCACCAATTCACATAATTCTGTAAAAATTTGAAATTATTCAGCTACTTGGGGGACACACATCTTGTTCTAAGGAAATAAAATGAATAGACCCGGAACCATGGACATTTTCAGCGAATTATTTTTTCTCCCTAGAATGAAGTTTAATGTCCCTAAGCTATCTCAAGGGTTTCTATGAATATTCCACCTAGCCTCATCCTGGGTCCATTCTCTTGGAGAGATGCTTCAACTTCCATGTTTTCTTCACTAATCCTCTTCAGTTTGAAATGCCATCTTTTTTCAGATTTTTAAAATGTCAGATCTTTTCTTTGTTGAGATACTAAAAATGGTACCCAGGAATGCTGTACCACTGAAACCCCCCTTCCCTTTATGTTACAACAGGGGCTCTGTAAATTGACCAGGTAGAACGCATATTTGACATCCTCAGCCTCACGAGTGCTGGGATTACAGGCGTGCACCATCACACCCAGATAAAAACAATGTTTTAAATGTAGTTGATGATTAATAAATGTTTGAATTAAATTTGAAAGAACAGCTACTTAAAAGCTGGAAGTTTCTGGGTACATATATAAACCGTAATTCTTAGTCTTTTTATTAGTCAAAAATAAAAAGTTAAATTTCATACAAAGTGTTTGGTAGAGATGTTTGCTTAGTATATGTTGGAATATAATTTTTCTCTTTGTTTTTAGATAATTAGGTTCTGGGTTTTTTTTGGTACCAGGGATCGAACTTGGGTCCTTGCACTTGCACTTGCACTTGCACAGCAGGCCGTGAAACCACTGAACTAAATCCCCGGCCCAAGGTTCTGTTTTGTATGGTGGAATTCAATTACTTTGGGGATGTGCATCAGAAAACTGATTTATGGTATTGTTTTAATATCTTAGTATTCTTTGTTTGTTTGTTTGTTTGTTTGTTTGGGGTTTTTGGCACAAGGGGTCGAACTTGGGACCTTGCGCTTTCCAGGCAGGCGCTGGAACCACTGAGCTAAATCCCTGGCCCATATATCTTAGTATTCTTATTAATTTTGTTTTGTTCTTTAAGCTGAAACAATGTATATTTAAAAATAAGACAGCCCAATATTGAGTTTTTTAAATTTGATTTTATTGTTTAGCATATATCCCACTTCTCTGATTGTATATCCTGTTATTAATCTATCCTAATTTGCTAAATGTTTAGACCTGTTAGTTGTAAAGTATTGTGACTTGTGAAATGCCCAGTAATAAGAGTGGATGACCTTTTGCCTTTTAGGAATTCATAGTGCAGTAAAAAAAAGACAAACACAAGCTATGGCATTTTTTTTGGAAATGACATCTCACTACATTATGAAATCCAGAAGTCCTATTTAGGATTGACAATATAAAGGTAGAAAGAATGGAAGGAGATGAGATGAAATCACAGTCTGGAAAGTTAGTCCTTGAATGATGGGTATGATTTTAGCAGGTGGAGATGGAGGATGAACAGTGTAAATAAAATGAAAGTGCTAACCCATGGCACACTGTTGAATGAAGGGATTTGGGGAGCAAGGCAGTATATAGTCTAGGCCTGTTAGATTGTGGAGAGCCTTGATTGCCTGTGGCTGAGGTGTCAGTTTTTTCTATTTTTTAAGGAGTTACTGAAATTTTCTTGAGGAGGGGAGTGACATTATCAATTTGTGTTTTATTCAGAAGATGAACAGTTTTCATTGATAGTACAAAATGTTCCTGCTCTTCCCTATGGAAGGAGTTTAAACCTTGTAAATTACTTTTTAGGGGTTGCTGGTGGTGGCATAAAAGGCTGGGATTCTACTTAGGTTTGTACAATGCTGAATTTAGTGTCTTTGTCTTCTATGTCTCTATATGAGATTTTTTTCCCATATATTTCAGTTTTTAGAAGTTCTCTTCAGTGTGCTTAAATTTGAAAAGTTTTAAAACCAATTTTTGGCCTATGGATTGAAATGCTTAATTCCAAATTTGAAAAACTTTCACTCATGGCAGTTTCTTTTTAAAGTTCTTTTGTGCACCCCCCCATGATACATCTGGAGTCCTCTTTCCTAGAAGTTTAGTTGTGAAAAGACAATATAGAAGTATCAGATTACATATACTAGAACCTGGATTCACATTTCTATTCAGTTGGTGCTCTTTTTAATACCCTGGGTAGAACGTGTGATTATTGTATTACCTGTTATTTCTCAGACAGAAAGGGCTTTGAGGAAAAAATTTTCCCTTTGAAGTAGGCATTGATGTTCTTAGGAGGTTGAGAACCCAGTTCTAATCTCAGTGTCACTAAAGGGGAACTTTGTGTGTGTGTGTGTGTGTGTGTGCGCGCATGCTGTATAGAACCCAAATCTAATTAAATTACAATTGAATTAAAGTTGTTTTCCTAATCCTAAAGAACAGTTTTCTTAAAATTGAGATGAAGAGAGTGGAGCACTTGAGAGGGGCCATTGCCATTGCACTGAGGAAAGAGAAAGCTATGGATTCAGTGTTCACTCTAGCACTTTAGGATGTAATAAGCATTTAATGTTGGTTGAATAAACCCAAAATGATAAAGTAGTGTGTCTGTTGAATGTGGAAGATAGAAGGGATCACTAAGAAAGTTGAACAGCTTTAAGAATGCAAAGTTCTATGGTCTTTAATTAATTTCTACCTTTCTAAGGGTAGCGCTGGCTTAAATTATTTACGCATTATCGTTTAGGGAAATATCTTAGCCTTAGGCCAGAGTTAGAGGAGTGCTTTTGAACCTTTAACACTTGAGAACGTAAAAATTGCTTTAGCTTGTGTTCCATACAGATTTGGATCCATTTCTGATGGATTGATGTAATAAATACTTACTTTTTGGTTTTATTTCAGCGTAAGATACCAAAGAATATTATGATAAACCTACTCACTGGCAAATTCTAGTTTTTATTTTAGGGCAGTGATGGAGATTGTTTCTATCTATTTATCTATATATTGCGGGGGGGAGCGGTGTTCTGGGGATTGGGCCCAGGGCTCTGTGCATGCTAGGAAAAGTGCTTTACCACTAAGCTAGTCTCCCAGCAGTTTTTATAAATTTTTATTTTAAGATTGGGTCTCACTAAGTTGCCTGAGCTGGATTGGAACTTGAGTTCTGTCTGCCGCAGCCTCTTGATAGCTAGGATTACAAACCTGTACTACCTTGCATGGCTGAAATATTTGTCATAGGTAAAATAGTTCAGTTTCTTTTTTCTTTTTTTAGTTTTTTTTGAGACAAGGTCTCGCTATGTAGTTCAGATTGGCTTTGAACTCTGTGTAGCCCTAGCTGGCCTCAAACTTGAAGTGATCCTCCTGCCTCAGCCTCCCAAGTGCTGGGATTACAGGGGTGTGCCACCACACCTGGCAGTAGTTCAGTTTCTAATTTCTTGCTTTCATTGATCTTTTTCTGTCAGTACTGTATTTCTTTTTCAAAAAATCAGCTTTGGTTTCATTGATTCTTTTTTTTTTTTCTAGTGTCTGTTTCTTCTTTTGTGTTCACATTGGATTTAATTTGACCTAGTTTGTAAGGTGAAAACAGGTTATTGATATGAGGTCTTCTAGGTGTTTGATGTTACAAATTTCTAAGTACTTCTTTAATTCTATATGGTAAATTTTGCTTTGTTATTTTTATTTACCCAGGGCCTTTGCACTGAGCTACATCTCCAGCCCCTTTAAAAATTATTTTGAGACAGGATCTAGCTAAGTTGCCCAGGCTAGGCCAAAATTTGTGATCCTTCTGCCTTGGCTGCCCAGAGTGCTGAGATTACAGGTGTGCGTCCCCGCTCTGGCTTGGAGACAGGCTGTTTGAGCTTTTTTAGACAAGGAGAGAACAGCTTTTAACCCTTTAATTTTTCTCCCCACTGCTGAAGCACTCAATCCATTTCTGCACACTCTCTCTGTTCAGGCCTTGGGTATGATGAGATTTTCTCCTTTGGAGCTGTCCCTGACCATATGTTTGTCCATTGGCCTCTGATAGTTTTCTTACCTGCTTAGGTTGATAATGTGAAGGTTTGGGGAAATCCACCATGTATCTCTGGAGCTTTAGGTTTGGCTTCGTGGAAATCTCAACTCTTGTCTCCTTAATTCAGAGACCCTTGGTCTCTGTTTGGATTCCCCTGTGCTCTGTGTCCTGGACATTTTATGTAGTAAGTGGGACAGTCCTAGAAGTCCCCTTACTCACTTTCCCTTTCTCAGGGATTACAGTTCTTGAACACTTTGTTTCATATATTTCAGGTAGAAGGTCATATCTAGAATGGAAAATACAATTTTCTTTTAGAAAATTATTAAAGTTATCTTTCTTTAATAAGACTCATCCACCCAAGGAAATAGAACATTTAGTGTGTGTGTGTGTGTGTGTGTGTGTGTGTGTGTGTGTGTGTATTTTAGGTAATTTATGTTCATATTCCTTGTGGACAGTTGGTACATGATATACATAACACGTCTTGATTCATCTTTTCATCCTTTCCCCTTTCCTCCCTCCTTCCTCCCTCCACCTCTTAACCCCCACCCCCCCATCCCCCGCCTTTTGTTGTGCATGTTTGCAGTACGTGATGTCTACCTTCCTGGTGTGGAGTTGGTCCATGTGCAGAACACATCTTCATTTCTTTCTTCATAACCTCCCCCCCATCTCTTGATCCCCTTTTGCCTTTGAGAAAGAGCTATATTTTATTTTTTTAAATTGCTTAGTTCTTGTGGATTATTCTTTGAAGTAAACTTTCTAATTACCTTGTAAAAATCTTTAAAATTCTATGGCTATTTATTTATGTGGCAGTACTGGGGATTATACCCAGGGGTTGATTTTCATTGAATTGCAGTGATTATGGAACTTTATTGCTAAATGCCCATTCAATACCCCTTTGAGTATTTGGAGAAAGCTTCTACAAGAAATTCTCTAAGGTGTTCACTCTGGAGGAATGACTTTGGTTTTAAGTTTAATAGGAAAAAATGTTAACTTTAGTTTGCTATAAACTGTTTCTCATTGAGGTTGTATTATATAAGGTCATTAGAGGGAAAGCAACATAGTATCAGTGGATTCTGGCCTTTCCCATTCAAAATTTCTTAGGTACTGAGATAATTTAGAAGAAATAAATATTGTCAACTTGAGATCAACTTGTCAACAACTAAAGTTTGAACCTGGAAACCCCATGTAAATAGAAATTTTTCTATTAGAAGCTAATGGATATTACTTTTTGTTGACATTTTTTGCTTTGAATTTTGAAGATACCACAGACTTCTGATTTCTATTGTGGAAAGTCATTTTTTTTTCTTTGTGTGCTGCCTCAGATTCATTAGATTTCTTCATTTCAAGGAATCAGTGGGTCTCCTTAAATCTGGGAAATATGTCTTAGAATATTGCCTCTTCCTTATTAATATATTTCAGGGAAATTGTGACTAGACATGTTAGGTCTTTCTGTTGCCTGTAACTTTTAATTATCTGTTTGTCTCAGTGGTACATTTTTGAATAAGCTTTTAGGCTCTTTTTCTACTTTACTATTTAACCGATCCTCTGAACACGTTTGTGTTCTCTCTCTCTCTCTCTCTCTGTCTCTCTGTCTCTGTCTCTGTCTCTCTCTCTCTCTCTCTCTCTCTCTCTCATTAAGGTATAGTGCCACGCATGGTGATGCACATCTGTAATCTCAGCACTCAGGAGGCTAGGACAGGATCATTATGAGTTTGATGACGGCCTGAACTACGTATTGAGACCCTGTTTCAAACAAACTTAAAGAAAAAAAAGGTATAAAATATTTATATGGTGAATGGCTTTGAAAGGTTTTTGTTGTAAGATGTACAGTCTTTCTAGGGTTCCTAACTGTGACCTGTCACTTGAGGTCAGGTGTGGAATTTTCCATTTATGATGTCATGTCCTGCAAAGTGTTCTGAATTTTGGAGGATTTTAGATTTTCAGATTAGGGATGCTCAGCTGGCACTTACCAAGTTTTAGAGAAAGAACGCTGCCACTACCTTGGAGTCTTTGTCTGTTCCTCTCCTTCCTCTCAAAGGTAACGACTGTACTGTGGTAGATTTTCTGTTTATTTTTACTGTTTTATTAAAAAACGTTTTTGTCATGTTTGCATCCCTAGGCAATACATTGTTTAGTTTTGCATGTCTTTGTAATGCTTTATAAATGTAGACATTCTGCATGACCTTGTGCTTGTGAGGCAGGCATGTTGCAGCCCTCTGCTTTTATTTAATATTCTCACACTTATTCATATTGTTGTATGTAACTAATCCATTGTTATCCCTATATTGAGTTTTTTTCATTGAAGTTTAAAGTTTACTTTTTTTTTTTTTTTTTTTGAGATAGAGTCTCACTATGTAGTTCAGTTTGGCCTTGAACTCAACTTGGTAGCTCAGAGGAGCAGCTGCAAGCTCACAGAGATCCTCCTCCCTCAGTCTTTCAAATGCTGGGATTATAGTATTTCTAAGTTTTAGAGTTTTTAAAAAAATCTACTGGACCATTTTTCTTACAACTTTCAGTTTTTTTCTCATCAGGCTAAGCTTTGATCTCCATAAATACATTAGACATTTTCTATTTACTGATAATTTTAATATCTGAAGACTTTGGTAGTCTGATTCTTTTGGCTATTCATCATGTTATTTCGATTGTGAGCTTATTTTCTTTTGAACTTCATCCTTAAGAATTTCTTGCAATTCCAGAGGATATTTGGTTGTTTCTGTGGGTTGTTTGAAGTCTTACCAACTTGTGAGACTTTATTACTTCATAGTAAATTCTTCACCTGAGGATTTTCAGATAATAGCTTGGATCCTGGTCATGAACTTGTATGAAGGGAATTTTCTTTTTCTGAGTAGAGACTCAAAGCCGTGGTCAAAGTGGACAGTTGTATTATATTACTCCCCATCCTGGATTAATAAGTGTTTCTGTCATTCATGTGGAATTTAATGGGACTGAGGGAGGTTCTTAGTTTGCATTAGCTCTGTTGGTCCTAAACTTTAATCTTCTGCCCTGGTAGAATTCAAGAGTGCTCAAAGCAAGATCGAGGTAACCAGGATTAGATTTGTTAGCTAACCCTCAAGACCAAAGCAGCTTAAATGTCTCCCAAAATTCCTATCTTCTCTTCATTTTATGCTTTGCCAACTCACTCAAAAAGATGCTTAATGTATTTTGATTGTTTACAGTAGAGGCAGGTCATTTAGGGAATCTAGTTTTCATATTTTGGGAATGATATTTTATCTAGTAAAAGACATAAAACTCAATTTTTGAGATTTCTGTGGGTTTGGACATTTTTTCATGGGGTTTTTTCTTTTTATTGAAGAGGTAATTTTTCTAAAACATCAATTTTTCCCTCTGGTGTTTTCTGAAAGTAAGTTAGGCAATAAAATGAGTTGCATTGAACCAGTTTTCAAAGAATCTAGGGAATAAAGTATATTCTTAGGACATCTGGCTTAATCTTTATTTTACTAAGACTGAGAAATATTTTCTTAGGGAATAAATTTTCTTAGGGGAGAATACCTTGGACCTAGCTATACTTAAAAATGCATTTTATTACAGATTTTAGTTTTACTTACTTTTGGATGGTGGCTCACTTTCCTTCTTATGTTTCAGGATGGAAATAATCAAGTGTATGATACAGTAGTTCAAATGTAACATAATAATGTTATCTTTTAAAAATATTTACAGTGGAAGTATGCGAGACTTAATCGCTCAAGTGACTAGTGGTCTCCTGCATTTCCCACAAGTGACTACTCAAGCCCTTGGAGAAGATGAAATAACATTAGAATCAGTGCTTCGGGGAAAATTTGCTGCAGGTAAAATAATGTTGCTGAAAAATCACTAATTTGATTGATTTAGAAGATAAATATAAGTGTATAATATAGTTTCTTTAGTGAAAAGAACCTGTGTAGGGTGGCCTCATGACATACAACCACTTACATAACACCTGAATACACTGGAACACACCTGTGAATCTCTGGAGGATTTTTGTTAAATTTTCTTTATTATTAATACATGTATTTGTATACAAGTATCTTTTTAGTATTGAATATCTGCATTTGGAAAGTAGAAATAATACACCTCTGATTTTTTTATTATAATTAATAAACTTTATTGAGTGATGAATTTGGATTAGGGCCTTAACAATGTTTTTTTTCCCAGTACAGGGAATTGAACTCAGGACCTTGTGCTTGCCAGGCAGGAGTAGCATAGGGCCTTAACAATTTTATGAATAAAAAAATTTGATTTTAGGGCCAGGGTTTTAGCTCAGTGGCGCCCTACCTGCCTCGCAAGTGCAAGGTCCTGAGTTCTATACCCGGTATCAAAAATAATTATTTTAATTTTTAGGGCACTGGATAAAAAATACATATTTTCAGAAAGTCTTATTTCTAATTCCATTAATCTGAACATGATCTTAATTTATAGTTTTTAGATTGTGTAATACAACAGAACCATATGAAAGCAGCCATTGCAAATTTTAGTACAATGAAAAATATTGGAGAAAACCATAGAAAATGAATTTCATGCCATCCTTCCCATCAGGAAGGCACCAAAGTGTATACATCAGTTTTTTAGCCATTTGTGGTGCTTTTATCTTGGCTATTAAAACCAGTATTTTACTTACACACCGAGCATTGTCACAGCTTTTCATTGAGGTAGGTATAAAACTTCTTTAAGTAAGCACTGTTCTATGTAGCTGAGAATCAAGTGGGCTAAATAATTACATAGTGATCCTAATTACACAGGTAGGAAGTGGTAGAAAGAAACTTTGAACCATGGTATTCAGGGTCCCCGTGCTGCTTTTGTAAACTACAGTTTATAGCATCCCTCAACTAACTATAAACTAGTATATTCAACTATCTGGACATATGATGGATAGCTCAGCTTTTGTAAAATTAATGCCACTAATCTAGTTGCACAAGTGCAAATTCAAGATACAGTCTAGATTCTTGTGTGTCACTCACCTCTCCCTCTTTAATTCATCAGTGAACAAATACTGCTAATTCTGTGGTTAAGATGAATCTCCAGTGAATCCGCTCATCAGTATCCACAGACACCAGGGAGAATCATTATCTCCCTGCTTCTACTTTGTGCTTCTCTTTGTTCATTCTTTGCTTATGGTAACACTTAAAAATATATCAGATTGTTACTAAACTATTTTAAATGCTCTAGCGACTTTACATTATAATCAAAATAAAATTTGAATGTGATCAGTACGTCAAGAAGGAATTTCTATTTGTTTGGCTAGTTGTTTTGTTTTCTCAGAATGTAAACTCTTTAGGAATAAGATCCTGTTGTATTTTATAGCTCCTAGTGGTGTGTGTGTGTTTTACTAGGGATTGAACCCAGGGTTTTATACTAAGTTATATCCTCTGTCCTATTTAGTATTTTACTCTGTGACAGGATCTCACAAAGTTGCTAAGTTGCCTAGGCTGGGCTCAAACTTGTGATCCTCTTGCCTCAGCCTCCTAGAGTGCTGGAATTACAGGTGGGCGCCATCAAGGCTGGCTAGTCAATGTGTAATATAGTGGTTAAAGTATGAGATTTGGAATTAAGAAGGGCCGGGGATTTAGCTCAGTGGTGCCAGTGCCTGCCTCGCAAGCGCAAGTTCCTGAGTTTGATCCCCGGTACCAAAAAAAACACCCCAAAATCCACTGGGACCCACAGCTCAGGGAGCAGGCTTGGCCAGCCCGGTCAGCCCAGATAGACTTGAGGTCTACTTCAATGCTCTGTTACTTTGTAGCTGTGGCTTCGGAGAAGTATGATAAGGAGTAAATGAAATAATGTATTTAAGCACATAGTATGATACTTTTACTGAATGATTATTATTGTAGTTGTAGTTGCTCAGTTTTAATTTGAAGACCAAGCTGTTTAGCCATTTAGATTTCAAATTGGGGGGGGGTGATATGTAAAGTTCTGTGTTAATGAGCTATGTATTATATATTTACGTATGTGAAAAGGTTAACTGCTGTTTATTTCTTATGTACATAAATTATGTTTTTGCTTTTTTCCTCCTCCCCCTAGGGAAAAATGGACTTGCATGCTTGGCTTGTGGTCCACAGCTTGAGGTTGTGAACTCTGTAACAGGAGAGCGGTTGTCTGCATATCGATTCAGTGGATTAAATGAACAGCCTCCTATAGTCCTTGCTGTCAAAGAATTCTCTTGGCAGAAGAGAACTGGATTGTTAGTAGGATTGGAAGAAGCCGAAGGGAGTGTTCTCTGTCTTTATGACCTGGGTATATCAAGAGTGGTTAAAGCAGTTGTTCTTCCTGGAAGGGTAGGTAAAGTTTAAGATACTTGGATATTCTACTTATAAAAGAAAGTTTGCCAGGGGAGTATTTACTTGGAAAACTCATTGAACTTTGCAGTTAGTATTAATCTCCATTTATGTAAATGTGTTACTTTTCATAAAAATTTTTTAAGATGTTATCAAAAGAACTTAACGTTTAAGATATTTCTTGTTCTTGGCTAGAAAATGTCATAGAAAAATAGTAATGAATGATATCTGATGTTCCTCTGAGTCTTGTTCTTATCCCTTGTTTTATTCCATGAATATATTCAGGTTATAAAAAGTATATGTTACTATAAGATTTTAGAATGTTTTTTTCTTTTTGAGGCTGTAACCTTAAAACAATGTGAAAAAGACTTTTACTATTAAGATTTTAATTATTTATTTATTTATTTGGGTATGGGGATCCAACTCAGGACCTTGTGCTTACCAGGCAAGCCCTGTGCCGCTGAGCTACATCCCCAGCCCTTAATAATGTATTTAAATAATGGTTAATTTATATTCATCATTTAGTCTGTGTATGCCTTCCATATGTCTGACATCTTAACCAACAATAATTTTAAAGGCTAGATTGTTTCTTCAACAGATCTGTTGCTGCTTTTCTATGTATACTCGGTTAGAAAAAAAGTGAGTACTTACAAATAGAAGACATTCGGGTTCCGTGATGCATGCCTGTAATCCTAGCTACTTGGGAAGCTGAGGTAGGAGGATGATGAGTTTGAGGCCAGCCTAGACAATATACCTTAACCCCATCTAAAATCTCCCCGCAAAAAAGAACCCGAAACCAAGAGTGGAATTCATAAGAGTGGAATTCTCTTAATACATGGTATACCTTTACATGTATATGCACACATATAATGTATATATTATACGATATATTTGTTAATCGTGTATATTATATGTAGTATTTACATTATGTAATGTGTATGTATGTGATATAAACAGTCATATTAGAATAGAATTTCTAAAGTTAGAAGGGAGCTTAATGACTAATAGTGGAGAAACTGGGGCCCAGTGAGATGATGTAGGGGACCAAGGTAGTTTGTAGTCTGGTGTCTTACATGCCCCCTGAGAATGGTAATGAACACACTAGAGTAGAAAAGATTTTAGAGGCAGAATTACATTAGTTTATTGAGTGTTTACCGTAGTATAAATCAGGCTATGTACTAATTTTGGGGATAAGTTAATTGAAGTTGGTCCAGCTTTCAAAACACTGTAAAATTATGGTCTAGTTGAAGATTATAAAATACTTTGTTAAGTTGAAGCACTTGGAACATGAAGAACATCTAAATAATTTCTACTCAAAAGAATTGAATATTTCAAGCAAAGAAAAATGGAAAAAATAACAGTACCAGAAGCATTTGGGAAACTAGATTTAATTTAGAATGGTTGGGGGCGAAAGGGAGGAGGAAGTGGGAGCTAAAAATACTGAGTGTGAATGGCCTTGTTTTTAATTAGGGGCCTCCTCCTAAAGTCTATGATGATTTAAGTTTTTAGCAGAACTTTAAAGTAAAAAGCTTCTTGGATTGAGTCAGGAAGGGTGTTATAAAAAAAGAAAATGATAGTTGTAATTAAGGTAAATAATATGTATTGAACCAAGAAAATGACAGTATAAATGGAGAGGAAGAAACATTCAAAACATTCAGAAGGTAACTTCCCAACAGAACTCACTGATCATTTTAAACAAGAGAAATTAAGTTGAATATGGTGACACATGGCTATAATCTCAGCACTGTGGGAGGCAAAGGCAGGAGGAGCACAAGTTTGAGCCCAATTTGGGTGACTTAGTGAGACCCCCTATCTCGAAAGGTTGGTGGTTTGCTAGGATTAGCTCAGTGTGAAGACCTTTTCAATCCCCAGTACCACAAGGGGAAAAAGTAATTAAGGACAAACAAGAGTTAAAATTTCTAGTTGCTCAGTTGAATGGATGGGTGATAAAAGGAAGAGGAAATAGAAAAGACAGGTGTGTTCAGGATAGATACCATAAGAGGAAGTTCAACTAACTAGTTTTTGGCTACGGGCATAGTATATTCTCCTAAATACTTTACACTGCCTCTTCTAGAATTAAGGTAGTGTTAATAATCACTTCATATAGGGGCCAGGGATTTAGCTCAGTGGTTTTGCCGCCTGCTGCGCAAGCACAAGGACAAGGACCCAAGTTCAATCACCAGTACCAATAAATAAATAAAATTTGACTTATTGGATAAAAGGGAAAAATATAACTCCATAAATAGCTATGGTGTAATTTTCTTTAATTCTGATCCTCATTGCCAGCAACTCCGTCTCTGCCAAAGCTTTGTATGAAGTCCATTAGAATATAACCTGTTTAGAAGATAACCCCTAAGTATCTTGTGTAGGGAGGATTTCTTTGTTTTATTTTAAGGAGTAGACAGTAAATTTTTCTGGAATGATTTGTTTTTACTCTTAAGCTGTATAATCCTAGAGTGATTTGTGGTTTGGAGCTTAAAGTAAGAATAGTTTCTTTAAGTTTAATGTTTAAGTTTATGGTTTTTATAATTTGGCTAATGCTCCAAGCCTCAGGTTATTTCATCATGAAACGGATAATTACATAAAGTCCAATATCAGAGGAATATTGTGAAGGTTAAATGAGCCATTACCACAATGACTGGCACCTAATAACTCTTAATAAATATCAGTTATTCAACTGCTTTCTTAATATATGAAGTAATAGTATAATTCCTAATGAATCTGAGAATTTCATTGTTGCAACTGCTTTAATTTTTTTGCGTTGTTGGTTGTGTTTTCTCACTTCATAGGAGAGAAACCAATCATATATTCTGTTTTCTAGGTAACAGCTATTGAACCTATAATTAATCATGGCGGAGCCAGTGCAAGCACTCAGCATTTACACTCAAACCTGCGATGGCTTTTTGGTGTGGCAGCTGTGGTCACTGATATTGGACAAATCCTTCTGGTTGACCTGTGTTTGGATGACTTATCATGCAATCAAAATGAAATAGAAGCGTCAGGTAATTAGCCATTTTTTACTTGAAATCAAAATTGAGGATTTGAATGTTCTGACTCAATGGAATGTTTTTTAAAATGGCCCAAAATTTTTATACAGTATAGCAAATTGTTTATATATTTTTGTTTCTTTTGTTGTATGTTCCTAGGCACTGTGAAGATTCTTCTTGCATGGGTTACTCTATTTTGTGAAAGTGTTCATATGCTAAAGTAGGCCTTAAAAATGTAGAGATGTTAATCTCTTTATATATATATATATATATATATATATGTATATACACATATTTGAATAAGCTCTGTTCTTAAGTAAATCTTAGAATAAGGGCTAAAAATATAAAATCTTGATCCTCATCAGCCAGTATAAAATTCTTCAGCCATGCCTGCATCTAAGAGTGTTTCTGGCATATTGTTTATGTTCTTATGGTAAGGCCAAGGGAGAATAAAGTAATTTAATAGGAAAAACAGTAATTAAAAGTTTCCTAACAAAATAACATCCTAAACTAACACTATTTAAATACAAATAAAGTAAGTAGAAATTTCCTCCTTTAAAAGCCTTTATTTATACAGCTACTCTTTTCAAGTGCCTTCAATTTTTTTAAATTGTGAGACTCTTACTGATTGGTTCATGTAAAGAGGAGAGTTTACTAAAAATATGTTTTACTTACAAGGTTTCAGGTAAGGTTTTTTTTGTTTTGTTTGATGGTGCTGGTGATTGAATTTGGGGCTTTATGCATGCTAAACAAGTGCTGTAACTCTAAGCTACGTCTCCAGGTCTTTTCTACAATTTTATTTTGAAATGGGATCTTGTTGTATTGCCCAGCTGACCTTGAACTTGTTTGTCCTTCTGTCTCAGCCTCCTGAGTAGCTGGGATTTCAGGTGTGTGCTCCCATACTTTGGCTAGGAAAGGATCATTTAACCCTGAAAAGGTTTTGACTTTGAGGATTTTAATTTTTAAAGAAATAAAAATAGATACTATCTGTATTTTATTTAGCTTATAGCAAGTGTAGCTTATAAAAATTGTTGAGGTAAAATAAAACTGATAGATTCAAACTACAAATGGTAAAAGTATCTGGGCAGAAATTGACCGAAGAACCAAATCTGTCACTGACTGACTTAAGAAGTTCTTTATCTGGTAGAATGCCTCACATTTTGTAATTAACTGTGTAAGGCTGGGGCATGGCTCAATGCTAGGTAGAGCACTTGGCTGGCATGGATAGGACCCCTGGGTTTGATGTTCAGGACCACAAAACAATAATACAAGACTATAACTGCATTTTGATGTGTGTCCATTTATATTTTCTGCAAATGTAAGTTAGCTTTGAGTAAAGATTAATATTTTACATTTTGCTGAAGATACTTTGGCAGTGCTAAAGTATTTATACTGTATCATATCGGAAGGTACATGATGTACAATTGCTTCTCAGTAATCAGTGGGTTTATATTGATAATGTGATCTTTTTTTTTTTTTTTTTAACTTTCCCATAAGTTTTAAAATGGTGTTCAACCAGGTATCGGTTTTGTCCTTTAAGAGATATTTGGCAGTGGTGCTTCTGGCTACCCGTAGTTAAAAGACTAGGGAGAGCTGAGCAGGGATGAGAGAGGCGGCCAGGGCCCAGGGCCGGAGCAGCGCGGGGCCGTGGGACCAGGGCGGCTGAGACCCCCCTGCTGCCCCCTCCCCTTCCCTGCCCCACGGTCCCCTCCTCCCACGCTCCCCTCCTCCCACGCTCCCGCTCGAGGAGGGGGTTTATTTAAATTTTATTTAAATTCCTAGCTTCCGAGGGTCTTGCGCTGGGGGAGGGGGAGGGCAGTGGCGCGCACTGGCTGGGGGGCGGGGCAGAGCGGCTTCCTTCGCCCCCTCCGCTCGCCCTGTCGCCGTAGAGCAGGGGGCGCAGTCCAGGGGCGGGCCCAGGGGAGGGGGGACAGGTTACAGCGAACCCCCCTTCCCCGGGAACAGGCGGGGGGCAGGCCTTGAACCCCGGAAACGGCGGGGGGGGTGCAGGCCAGTCCCTGGACCCCTGGGTAGTGGGAACCGGGAAGGGGCCAGTTAAAGGGCCGGGGGCTCCTGGAGAGGCCGGACGGGGCGGGAGTAGGGGAGCTGGGATTCGGACCCGGGACTGAGCGGGGCGGGCAGAAGCTGAGCACCCTGCGTCCCGGGGAGCCCCCGTTGGTCGGGGGGGGGGGCTGAGGGACTGAGCCCCCCAGAGGAGGACCTCCCCCTGGAACGGCAGCGCCACAGCCCGTGGGAGGGCCTCGACCCTGGCGCCCCCCATTTCCCCTCACCGCTGTCCCGGCCTCACCCTCCCCCCATCCCCCGCTACCGCCGACCCTCCGGGAGCTGCTGAGAAGGGAGAGATAGCTCCCGGGACACGTGTGAGCCCTCGGCGTTGCTGACGCCCCCAGTGTTGTCGATCGGCCCCGGCCGACGCCGAACCCCCGCTGCCGTCGCTGCCGGGCCTGTTTTCGAACTGAGTGCGGGGACTGCCGCTTCTGCCGAGACATGAAGAAGTTCGAGACATGAAGAAGTTCGGGGGGCCCAGGTGCATGAAGCAGTCGTGCCTGCTCCGGCAGTGCACTGCCCCCGTGCTCCCACACACAGCTGTGTGCCTCTTGTGTGGGGAGGCTGGGAAAGAGGACACAGTGGAGGGAGAAGAAGAGAAATTTGGTTTGAGCCTCATGGAGTGTACAATCTGCAACGAGATCGTCCACCCTGGCTGCCTGAAGATGGGGAAGGCTGAGGGTGTCATCAATGCGGCGATCCCCAACTGCTGGGAGTGCCCTCGCTGTACCCAGGAAGGCCGAACCAGCAAGGATTCAGGTGAGGGGCCAGGCCGCCGCAGGGCTGGCAACGGTGAGGAGGGTGCCAGCCTAGGGAGTGGATGGAAGCTGACGGAGGAGCTGCCACTTCCACCGCCTCCACCCAGGCGCAAGGGCCCTCTACCTGCTGGCCCCCCGCCTGAGGACGTTCCTGGGCTCCCCAAACGAAAGGAGAGGGAGGTAGGGAATGAGCCCCCCACCCCAAGAAAAAAGAAACCAAAGCCACTTTTGGCCTCTGCTGAGGGCCCGGTGGTACCATCCCCATCACCCCAGAGGGAGAAGCTAGAACGCTTCAAGCGAATGTGCCAGCTGCTGGAGCGGGTGCCTGACACTTCTTCCTCTTCGGACTCAGACTCCAGCTCAGACTCATCAGGCACATCGCTGAGTGAGGATGAGGCCCCTGGCGAGGCCTGGAATGGGTGATGACCAGCCCGGGGCAGCTCTGGCGAGAAGGAGAACCGTGAGGGGCGGCGGGCCGTGCGCACTGGCAGTTGGGGACCCCTGCTCAGCTGGCCCCTGGGCCCGGCTCCACCACCCCGGCCCCCACAGCTGGATCGGCATGTGGTACCCCCCCCCCACCCCCCGCCTCGGAGCCCTGCCTTTGGCTGCTGGATCCGACCACCCTCCGCCCCGGGCTGCCTGACTTGTGTCTTCCAGCACCTTGGGCCCCAAGAGCTGTATGTCTGCATGCGAGTCTGCCGGACTTGGATCCGCTGGTGCTACGACAAGCGTCTATGGCCTCGAATGGACCTGAGCCGGCGGAAGTCACTGACACCACCCATGCTCAGTGGGGTGGTTCGCCGCCAGCCCCGTGCCCTGGACCTCAGCTGGACAGGTGTCTCCAAGAAGCAGCTCATGTGGCTTCTGAACCGACTGCAAGGCCTCCAGGAGTTTGTGCTCTCCGTCAGCTCCTGGCTCTCTGTCTCTGCCCTGGGCTCAGCCCCACTGCCAGCCCTGCGGCTCCTGCACCTGCGCTGGATTGAGGATGTTAAGGACTCCCAGCTCCGAGAGCTGCTGTTGCCTCCACCGGACACAAATCAGGGCAAACGGAGAGCCTGGCGGGCCTGGAGCTGACAGACGCCTCCCTGCGGCTCCTGCTACGCCATGCACCCCAGCTGAGCGCCCTGGATCTGAGCCACTGTGCCCATGTTGGAGACCCCAGCGTCCACCTTCTCACAGCTCCCACTTCCCCGCTCCGAGAGACCCTGGTCCGCCTCAATCTTGCCGGTTGCCACCGCCTCACCAACCACTGCCTCCCGCTTTTCTGCCGCTGCCCACGTCTCCGCCGCCTAGACCTGCGCTCCTGCCGCCAGCTCTCACCGGAAGCTTGTGCCCGTGCCGGGCTGGCAGCCGCTGGGCCCCCTGGCCCCTTCCGCTGCCCAGAGGAGACACCGCTAGTTGGGTGCCCGCCCTCCCCCAGGACTCGTCCGGAGCCTGGACCCCGGGCCTTCGTGCACCCCGGCTGGGAGGCCAGGTCACCCCTCAGGACCGAGCGCCTCCCGCCTCTCCCCCTGCACTGATCTCCGGGGCCTCCCCTCCCCTCCCTCCCCCCCTTCCACCCACTTCTCTTCGGTCCCCTGGGGAACTGAGCCAATGGGATGGTGGCGGGGGGGGTTACAGTGCAAGTCTGCAGGAGGGAGATGGGAGAGGGGTGCGGGCCGGGAGGTGGAGGGGGGTAGGAAGCAAAGACCAGATACTTGGGGGGTGGGCGGAGGGGAGGCAGGAGGAGCAGGGGGTCTGGCGTCCCTGGAGGGAGGGGGAGCAGGAGCCCAGCGGGGCCACCCCTCCTTCCCCACCCTGACTCCTTGGACGTCACTGAAAACGGCAGCTAGAGTCGGGTGCGGGCCTACCTGCTGTTGAGCTCCCAGCCCAGGGGAGTGCGAGGGGTACCCAGCCCCGCCTTCCTCTCTGCACAATACTTGAACATTCACCTGTACTGAAGTGTTACTTGAACCGGGGGACCTCGGACCTGGGGGAGCCGGAGTGGGATGAGGCGAGACCAGCGTGGACTGTCTGGACCGGTGGGCACCCAGTTTGGACCGTGCCACCCCGGCACTCTCTCTGGAGCAGTGCACCCCTCCTGACCTGAGTTGGGGATGGGGTGTGGCAGCCCAAGGATGGGGAAGATGGGACTCCTCCAGCTTGGCTCTTCCCACTTTTTCATTGTCATGGAAACATGTAACGCATTTGCCCAGGGACCTGCCACTGCTGGTTGCCATGGAAACAGCAGCCAATGAACACCTCCCTATGCCAGTGCTAAGGCTGGAAATGGCCCCTCAGTTGCCATGGGAACTTAGTAACAGACTCTTGGCTTTCCCACCCCTTACTCCATTGAGGGGGTGAGGGGGTCGGGGCCAGGTCCCGCCCCCCAGCCTGAGCTTGGGGGGAGCCGGGTTGTACCGTGGGGGCTCTATACACAAACCTCAGGTAACAGGGAGGCGCGAGGGTGGGGGGAGGGATTGGGTGGACCAAAGGCTGGAGGGGAGGGCCCCAGGGGACGGCGGAAGGTTTGAGGAGCCCACTTGTGGGAGGGGACGAGGCCGCCCGCTGAGGGCAAGGGGGACCCAGCAGGGTTGGGCCCCTGGGTCCCAGGTCTGTACAATATGGTTTGCTATAAAACACAAACTTCCAACCGGGGGAAAAAAAGAAAAGACTAGGGATGCTGCTTAATATCCTGTATTGTTCAGAATAGCCTTCCACAGCAAAGAATTTTATGGCCTCCAAATGATGATAGTGCCAATATTGAAAACTACTTTAAGCTATTTTAATTAATTGACATTTGTATTTCACCAGTGGCTGCAAGATGGTTTGGTTTGTTTTGGTTTGTGTTTTGTATGGTTCTGTTTTATTGTAAATTGATTTTAAAATTCTGTCAATATAAAGGGGAATTCTTTTCATTAACTTTTACTGTTTGCTACCTGAAAATGCAGATTGAACAGAAAGAGGAGAATAAGTGTTTAATATTTTTGAAATACTAATTATCAGAGTAAGAAGTTGGTCCTACTTCCATTGGTTCATTAAGATTGTTTGTAGATATGGGCAGCATGAGCTTTAGTCTTGACTATTTTATTTCCTTCGGAGTTTTTTTTCTTGGTACTGGGGATTGAACCCAAAGCCTTTGTCTTAAGCTACATCCTCAGTGCTTTTTATTTTTTATTTTGAGACAAGATCTCACTAAGATTCTAAGTTGATTTGGCCTGGGCTTGAATTTTCCATCTTCCTGCCTCAGCCTCTGAGAATGCTGGATTTGCAGGCATGCACCACCACGGCTGGCTCTTGCACTCCTTTTTGAGTATCATACTTAAACTCAAAACGTAGGAGGTTTTTAACATACTTGTGTTTCATTTATTTGTATTACTTTTGGTGCTCAGAATGCATTATCTTTGCTAACAAGAGCCCATTTATCATCTGACACATACTCTTTAGTAAAGATGTATAAGAATTATCTGTGTATTTCCTATTTGAGGCATGGAGTTAGCCATTCCTTCAAAGGAGGTTGTAGTTTTAAATTTGAATCAAGAAATAATCAGCCTTACGTGTGATTGGCTGGGAAATTAATACTTAAGAGAGTCTACCTCGAATAACATTGGATGTTTGCTGATTTTAAAACTATACAATTGTATTTTTTAATTATGCATTAAAATAAATGAAGATAAGATGGCTATTTTCTAGTTCACCATGCTTTATCATTAGTTTTATTTTAATTGACACATTTGACTTGATGATTTGAATAATTGATGACGTTTGCTTTTTTGCTATCTGTAGTTTCTTTTTGTCAGTTTTTTGTGTTCTATCCGTAGTTTTTAGTCTTACTTGTCTTACTACTTCTTGTTTTAGACCTTGAAGTTGTAACTGGTATCCCAGCTGAAGTACCACACATTAGAGAGGGTGCAATGAGAGCTGGGCGTCATCTGTGTTTCCAGTTACTAAGCCCATCTGGAACGGCTGTTTCTACTCTTAGTTACATTAACAGGACAAATCAGCTTGCTGTAGGTTTTTCTGATGGCTTCCTAGCACTGTGGAATATGAAAAGCATGAAGAGAGAGTAAGTATAACTTTTCTTCTTGCGTGGTTTCTTTTTGTTTGTTTTTGAGACAGGGTCTTTCCATGTTGTCCATGCCAGCCTTGAACTTGCCCTGCAGCACAGGCTGGCTTTGAACTCGCGATCCTCCTTCCTTTGCCTCCTGAGTGCTGGGATTGCAGGCAGGTACCACCACACCTGGCTTTTTATTTTAATATTAGTGCTTTCTTTTTTAATATATATGTTAAAGTATTTGAAAATTAGCAAGAGAAGAGTAATTGACCATAAATAACTTTTCATTGGATTCCATCATAATTTGATATAAGGAAGTGACCTAGAACATGAATTTAGCTTGGTTCTTTCAGTGTTTGGAAAGTATTGCACTAGTGGAATTATTCTATTTGCTAATTCTGTAGGCACGATCTGTGGCTAAACTATTTGTATAGTATGAATTCTTTCTGAAATATATTTTATCATACATTATATAAAATAGTTGAATAAAGTGTTCTATTTATTTATTTATTTTTGGTACTGGGGATCAAACTCCGGTCCATGCTCTTGCTCAGCAGGCGGCGAAACCACTGAGCTAAATCCCTGGCCCCATAAAGTGTTCTATATTGATGGAAAAAAAATTTTAAGAATCAAAGTTATAAAATACTTGTGTTTTAAATTTTATGCTGTCAAAACCTTCCCCAAAATATGATTAAATTGAAACTTTATCTTTGAAGTTAAATTCTCTATTATGGTGGCACACACATATAATCCCAGCACTCTAGGAGTTTGAGGTAGGAAGATTGCAAGTTTGAGCCCAGCCTGGGCAACATAGACCCTGTCTCAAAAATAGAAAGAGGGTGAGAATGCACCTCAGTGCTATTGACGCTGGGTTCAGTTGCCATTATCACCACCACATACACACACAAAAAAGCCTGGAATTAGTGAAGGAGGCAGCAGATAGGTTTTTTAGTTACATAGATTATTGTTGAGTTAGGTAGATGCCTGTTTGGCGCTTAGGATGTTAATTTACACCGCCCCCACCCCTAGGGCATATTGATGTATTTATCTCACTTCTGTTTTTATCCTTTTATTGGCTCTGGTTTTTTAATTGCTCCTAAAACAGTCCTGGAGAAACTGGCTTTTATAGCAGTGATTTCTTAGTATTATTACTGTTTGGCTAATTATGCTTTTCTTCCTTTTGTGGTACAGGGAATTGAACCTTAGGTCTGGCACTTGGCAGGCAAGAACTATACACTGAACTGTCTTTCCAGCCCTTGTTTATTTTGAGACCAGGTCTCACTAAGTTGATCTTACTATCCTTGAGCTTTGTAATTCTAGCCTCCAAAGTAGCTGGGATCACAGGCATGTGCCATCATAGCCAACTTGGCTAATTATGCTTTTTTAAGGGATTTATGGAAAGTCTAGTTTCTTGTTTATCTTCTCTTTTGGCACTGGGAAACTGTCTTTTAAACCAAAGTGGCCACATTCGGGTGGTGTGGCCATTCTTCATCTTTTTGTAGGATACTTACTAGAGAGTAGTAAGGTAATGTCATACATTGGTATGAATCTTAAGAACTAGATCACACATAATAAATGTATGCATGTGATTCAGTAATTAGCACCCGTTCGGGGTGGAGGTGATAGGTGGCATGGCCATAGTTTTGATGTCTTGTGCCTATGTATTTTTTAAGGTAGGATGAATTGGCTGTGTCCCTAAATCAGTTTTGGGGATCATGTAAACAGCGGTTTCTTTTTTTTTTTTTTTTTGGTACCAGGGATTGAACTTGGGTCCTTGCGCTTGTGCAGCAGGCAGCGAAACCACTGAGCTAAAACTGCAGCCCCATCAGCGGTTTCTTAACCCAGATTTTTTCCAAAAATGGTAACCTAAGAATATACTACCTTTTGCCTGTTTTAGGTATTACACACAATTGGAAGGTGGAAGGGTTCCTATATATGCCGTTACTTTTCAAGAACCTGAGAATGATCCTCGTAATTGCTGTTACTTGTGGGCTGTTCAATCTACTCAAGATAGGTTAGTGTGATGCATGCAATTTTAAAAATGTTTGTCAAAATGGAATAGTTAATTTCTTTTGGGAAGCTTTGTACTTTGTTTCTTTTAGCAAAACCAATGTAATTCTTTCTGTAAATTAAGAAGTAGTAGTTGAAGTTATTTAAATGATTGTTTTTACATGTTTGAGTAATTAAGATACCAGTAAGAAGAAATTGTGCTTGCTTAACTTGGTTCAAATGATTTTTCAAAGGGTAACCCAATCCAGATAAAGTACCCAGCTTCTTGTTACCTTCAGTGGTTTTTAAGGCCTAATTTATAATCTCATTTCCCCACTTCCATTGTCACGCCTGTCTTCTGTTATTTATTCTCACTCTGTTCTCTAGTCCTTGATTTACACAGTATGTTCCTATAGTTAATTTGGCTAATCTTTTTGCATCTATTATAAGCTCTAATTTTGTTACACCTTTAGTTTATGAAAAGTCTTTCAGTTCAATTTCTAGATGGTTAAACTTACTCATTTCCTGGCCTAGGAACAGTTCAGGTATTGACTTTTATTCATTTTGAAGGTTTAGTTCTTTCTTTAATGGTGGAACAGTTAAGTTTGTGGTATAAATGCTGTATCTTGGTAACTTACTATTCTTAGTAGTTTTTCTTTATAGATCCATCCTAAGATTCTAGATATCTTGAAGTACAGTCATTTCAGATTTTTGTGTTAGATTGCCAAATAAATGAATGAATAATTGGTTTGTCACTTTTGAAATTTATCAATCCTGTGGAAAACTGAATTGAAAATATATAAACTATCATTGAATCATATCATATTCCAATCTGTCTGATTGTAAATGTGCGTCAGTGACTTAAACTATGATTCTTGAAGGCCCCAAGTGATAGAGAATGAAGGAGGAGGACTTTCATTGAAACTTTTGTTTTCCATTTATTTTTCCCTCTGGTACTGTTCCTTGGGGTGATGATTTCTATAAACTTTTAAGTACACTAAAATATAAATTTAAATCAAGAAGAGAAGTAGTATGGTCCCTTTTCCACCCCATGAGAATAATCATTTGAACAAAATAAAGGAGCAAGAAAGGAAGAATTATTGTAGAATGAATATATATCACCATGTGATTACATGGGTGCAGATCTTAAATCGTTGCCATAGTATTCATTGATTATCATTAAAAACACATTTAGCTGTGTAATAAAAATGACTGGTATTCCCTTTAATGTTGATTGTAGGCACTCTATCCTGTTGACTATTTGGTTTTCTGAGGCCATTTGTTTTTGCTTTATGGTCATATGTTCAATCAACGTGGTTTTGGGCATCTACTGTGTGCCAGTAACTGCCCTAGGGAATATAGTTATACATAAGATCGATTAAATTTCCAGTGAGGAAAAGAGATAGCAAATAAGTAGATTAGTCTGTATATTTAATATAACTTCATATGATGATTTTAATGCTGAAAAATAAAGTCAGGAAAGGGAATATAGAATATGGTAGAATACAAGGAATTGCTGTTTTTAGGTAATCAGTCAGAGTTGGGGCAGGGAATGGTGGAGGTATGGGAAGATCTGGGAGGGAAAGAGAAGTATTTAGGAAAAGCAAAGTCAGACGGGTAGAGCACAGAGTAGTTATAGATAAGGGCAGAAAAATGTTTATTTGCATATACTTTGTATAAAGCTTGGGTAAGGAAAGTGAATTTTCTCTGACTACCTCAAGCCAATTAAATCAATTTTTGGTGACATGAGCTAAGAATTAGAGTTTTTTGCGAATCTCTTCTAGTGATTCTAGTAATAAATAACCAAGGTGGAAAACCACTGGCTTAGAATGAGTGAAAATGACTGGAAAAAAGAAGAGAGCTGCAAACTGTCTCGGGAACATACTTGGAGATTAAGAACAAGAGCCAAGGTAGCCAGCAAAGGACTGAGGAGTGGATAGTGTCATGTTGGAAGCCAAGTAAAAGTAATGTGTTAAGAAAGCTTAGCTACTAATAATAAGATTCAAAGTCAGATGATATAACTCTGCATAGCTGTACTTAACACTGTGCACTGTACTTCGCTAATGCATGGTTGTTCTGATACTTTTACTTTCCATCTTTGTAAGCCCTCATCTTCATGGTCCAGGGCAACATCTTCATTTTAAGTAGAAGTAAAACAAGATGGAGGAAGAGACCAGGAAGAAGAAGCAGCAAAGGACATGTTATCTCCTAGGAAGGATCTCTGTAGTAGCCATGGGATAATTGCTTACCTTTCATTGGCCAGAATACTTGCCCACAGAGATACAGTACCTGGAGCTGCTAATGAACCTGTGATAGTTCAGTTATTTTAAGTAGCCATATGTCTTAAGACATACCTATTGAAGGCAGAATATTTGAAAAAAAGAATAATGGGTAAAAAGTTATAGTTGTTGCCAGGTAGCTATTACTTAAAGTATGCCAATGTCAGCTTAATTTGAATTTTAAAAACAAAAGTAAGTTATTGTTTCAAAGGACTAAATTTTGTGAAAACAACCATATAAAGATAAGTTCTTCACAGAGACAGTTTCTAAATATGCATTCAGTGTTGTATGCAGAAAATTCAGATGTTAAATGATATTTAATGTTTTAATGTATTTAATGTGTCTCCTCAATTTGTTTCTTTCAGTGAAGGTGATGTTTTGAGTTTGCATCTGCTTCAGCTGGCCTTTGGTGATAGAAAATGTTTGACATCAGGACAGATCTTATATGAGGTAAATGATAATTACGTTATTAACATTTTCTTTTCTCAACTATTTTAAATATTTTGTCTTTCATTTGAAAGATTGAAAAGTTATATTCAAGTTAGTGTTGTATTCATAATATAGAAGTACTGGATTAGTGATCCTGAGATCTCCAGTTTATTTTACCTGTTTTACAAATATAGCACTCTTCTTCAGGTATCATTTTCTTCTAAAATGAGGGAAGTGGACTAGACTCAAGTTTGTGGCCTTTTTAGAAAAACAATCCCTTGTTGCTCTAACATATCAAGCAGTAAGTCCAGTGTCTATAAGAGGACACATACACCTAGATGCTCAGATAACTACCTGGTTTTTTGTTGTTGTTGTTGTTTGTTTTTTTTTTGGTACCGGGGATCGAACTCGGGTCCTTGCCCTTGCAAGGCAGACGACAGAACCACTGAGCTAAATCCCCAGCCCAATAACTACCTGTTTTTGACAGAATTTCTGAGAAAATAGAGGGGCGCTGCTGATAGTCATATTTTGCCAATCATCTAGAACAGGCTTTTTTAACCTAGTGCTTGAAGGTTATATGGATGAGTTTGAGGGACTCCACAGTTCTTGAGTGTTATGTATGACATTTTTATGATTATGCATTTTTTCCCCCGGGAAAGTCTAAACCTTTTGCTACATTCATAAGGAAATCATTGAGCAAAAAAATATTGAAGAACCTGTGGTATTTTAAGATAAGAATATCAAAATAAATTTGTTGGCCTAGGAGTATGGGTGTATAATTTAGTTTGGTTTGGTTTGGTTTGGTTTTTGAGGTGCTAGGGATTTGACCTAGGGCTTTATGCATGCTAAGTTTGCACTATATAGCTAAGCTACACCCTCAGCCCCTGCATATATAATTTTGGTATTTACTCCAGTTTATACTCCCAGCTAGTAGTACATGAAGGTTCACATGTTTGGTATAGCTTTAAAAGATTATTTGGTAATTATTTTTAAGAGTCAAAATCTGTCTTATTATTTGTGCTTTATAGTATCCAAAATTTTAGATGCTCTTTCAGTTTTATGTTTTCTTTGTATTGTGTGAAACATCTTTAAATTTGGAGAATGTTTAATTTTAGAATGCTCTTTTGCTCATAAGCTTGTTAAGGTTTGTGTTCATTTTATGTTAAAGGGACTAGAGTACTGTGAAGAAAGATACACACTGGACCTGACAGGTGGCATGTTTCCTTTGAGGGGACAGACTAGTAATACCAAATTGTTGGGATGCCAGAGTATAGAGAAATTTCGACCTCATGGTGACAGGGAAGAAGGCGTGAGTGAAGGTTGGTTAAAAGTATTTTATGTGAAGTCTTGATTGTAAGATTTATGAGAGGTATTGGTTTTTAGAGTTCATACTCCTGGCAGTTAAAAACTTTGTTAAAAGCTTTGAATACTAATCATGAATTTATTCCAGCCTGTATGAGATACTAGGTGTTTGTTACTTTCCAGATTGCTGTATAGAACTCAAAAATTGAGCAATTTAGGCCAGTGAAGTACCCTTGTATTTTAATCGACTTCTTAAAACCAAAAGTGGTCTGAAGTAACTGGTATAAATAGTCTGAGTGTTTCCTTTATATTTTTTGAGCCATATATTACAAATGTGCTGTGGTTGCTTTGAATTTTCTGTTTCCTTTAATGTTACCTCTTCCTGGTAAAATATAAATCCTGGCATAGATTTTTGAGTTACGCATTGATTCAGACTCCATCCCTGTCACTAATTGTGACCTTTACAAATTACTTAACATTTCTGAGCCATGTTGCCCCATCTATACGTGATATAATTCAGTTATATCTTTTGTAAAGGGTAGGTGTGAGGATTAATTGAAATGATGTTATAGACTCATTCAGTTCTGAAAATGTTCATCAGGGCTGGGTTGTATGTGTGTTCCTAACTTCATTCTCAGTGAGCTCAATCATCACAGATGCTCGTTGTCCTACTACCTATATTTATATTTGTCATCTGGTTTTCACATCCAATTAAACGTATCAGAAATAGAACTTACCATGCATTGTCTCTTCTTGTTCCCCACACGTCTTCCCATTAGTTTCAACTTCTTGTTGGTAGTATTTCAGGTTTTTACTTCTCCTGTTTGCCCCTTGCTTTAGTCATTCCATAGCCACTGTGGAGGTAGTTCTCTTTTTTTTCTCTTCACCAAATAGCTATATCAGACCTTCTTAACTAAGATTCTTTTAAAGAATTAAGGCTTAATGCTCAAAATTGCCTATTTTAGGTAATGAATTAACTTCTCTGTTTCTAGCTATGTACCATCCTTGGGGGAATATTTGTACTATTCCTTGGGAATAATTGCTAAAATAATTTTTCTACTTCCTACTTTGAATATCTCAAAGTTGCCAAAGTGTTAACTGGGAACAAGGCAGGATAGAATTTTTCTGATGAATATTTTTAAAATAATTTCTTAAAAATGTCAGTCTGAGGGCCGGGGATATAGCCCAGCAGTGCCACCCTGCCTGGCAGGTGGCAAGGTCCTGAGTTTGATCCCCATACCAGAAAAAAAAAAAAAAAGAGTATCAATCTAGTGAATAAATCTCTTACTATACACAATTGATGGAACTATATTTTGACAAATGTAATGAATTATGAATTAAACCTCAGTTTGTGAGATCTTGCTGATTCTATTGGGGTGATTTTACTTTGAGATTTGTTCTGTTTTTATTTTTGATCTTTTTTTCTTTTCAGCTCTATCTCCTGACACTAGTGTTTCAGTATTTACCTGGCAAGTGAATGTATATGGACAGGGAAAACCTGCTATATATTTGGGGCTTTTTGACATAAATCGTTGGTATCATGCACAAATGCCCGATTCATTAAGGTATGATTTTCTCTTGTGCACATGTGCTCGCGCTCACTCTCTCTCTCTCTCTCTCTCTCTCTCTCTCTCTCTCTCCCCCTCTCCCCCTCTCCCCCTCTCCCCTTCTCTCCCTCTCTCCCTCTCTCCCTCCCTCTCTCCCTCTCTCTCTCTCTCTCTCTCTCTCCCTCCTCTCTCCTCTCTCATTGTTATGTGTAGCTGATTAATAACAGTAATCTTAAATTTTTTTTTAGATCAGGAGAATATCTACATAATTGCTCTTATTTTGCATTGTGGTCATTGGAGTCTGTTGTAAGTAGGACTTTTCCACATGCCATCTTGGATATATTAGTACATGAGAGAAGTTTAAGTCGAGTTATTCCTTCTTCCTATCCACCTCCAGAGCAGTTTTTTAACCCAAGTACTTTTAGTTTTGGTATGTATTTTTCTTTTATCTTTTGACAAAAGTAACATGCAAAGGTGTTATGTAGTTGGGTGTGTTTGTATGTAGTTCGTATGAAAGAATGTCATGTGTTATTTAACAGATAATGTCATTGATTGACTTAATATATTGTACTTGAGAAATTTAATAGTTATATGTGTATGAAGGTATTACTAATTTCTTGACAAAATACCTGAAAAAGTTTACTAAAAAATGTAGTCTGTGTTATAATTTGATTGCCTGAGGATCTGTTATTATGATAAATTTTGTTGCATTAGAACCATTTTAATATTTTAAGTAGAATTTTAAAATCTTTTTCAGATGCCACTTGTCTGTTAAACTCAGGAATTGTTCATATAACTTGTGCTGGATTTCAGAAGGAGGTAAATAACAATTACAAGCATGCAGTATTTCTGAATCGAAGTCAGATCTTAGAGTGCACATAATCATGGATTTAAACTTTAATGTTGATTATATAAACTATTATTTCATCTTAAATGGTCGCTTCTGTTAGATATTTTTGAGATTAGCAGCTAAGTAGAATCAATTACCAATGACAGCCTGCTAGAGGAGACATTGGGGTATTTGTAGCACCTTTATGTGGATTTTAGCTACTTGAACCATGGGGAAAAGAGTAAGTTAGTGCCTTACCACGTCCTCTTTTTTTTTTGGAATGGGGGTCTCGCCAATTCACTGTGTACCCCAAGCTGGCCTTGACCTCTTGGTGATACTCCTGCCTCAGCCTTCCAAGTGCTGGGATTGTAGGTGTTCACCACTACACCCAGCATTACCATATCTTCTTTAAAAAACCTTTGTTGGTTCTTGTCAGAAAGCTAAATAAGGAAATGAAGTAATGCAAAGAAGGCACCTAGCATAATGACACAGTGCTTGACACACAACCCCCCCAAAAAAATAGTATGTAGAAACATACTTTCCATGGGAAGCGTGATGTGGCAGGTCTTTTAATTGATAATTGGCCAAATGTGAATGAATGTCACATTCATACTTCTTATCAGACCTGTCACATTAGACACGGAGGTTTGTATGTGTCAAGTTTGTCAAGATCTGTTAGCTTTAGAGAATATAACAGGATTACATTTCATGAAAATATATAAACTGCTATCTAAGGTAACTTGTCGATGTACAACTAGTAACGATTGATTTTGAAAGAATCTATAAACCATTTCCCTTGCAGTATAATCATTCATAATGTCCATTAGGCATTTTTAAAGTGTAGTGTAATTAACTTAATTCATAAATTTGATTATTCGAATTGAGTGTTGATTGATATCTTATTCATCTATTGTAGACTTTGACTTTTTTAAAGAAATCTGGACCATCTCTAAGTGAAGTTATTCCTGATGGTTATAATCGATGCCTTGTAGCTGGCCTTCTCTCACCAAGACTCATAGATATTCAGCCTTCCAATTTAACTCAAGTGAGATGATTTTGACCTGTATCATTTCTTGCTGTTACTTTATATATTAATAGCGTTCTACTATAATAAAAATCTACTGGATAGTTTCTGCAGAAGTGGTAAAGTAGTGCCCACCCTGTGTGGTCAGTAGCTGTTGTCCTGATTTGGTTTAAAAATCATACTCATGAGACCCAATAGGCCATAAGTCACTGTGAGGTTCACTCATCTGTATAGATGGTTATGGGACAGGAAAAATATCTTGACAGCATCAGGTAGCATAGATAGGAGCACATAAATAAAACCCAACTTATTTTAGCTGAATCTCATGGTCTGCATAGCAACACACTTTGGTTGCTGGCATCATTGTCACCTGAGAACTTGTTAGAAATGCAAGTTCTTGGTCCTGTCTTTGAGCTATTGAATTAGAAACTCTGAGAGTGGAGCCTAACAGTTGGTTTTCACATGCCCTTTAAAAACCACTGCTCGGGCCAAGGATTTAGCTCAGTGGTTCCAGCGCCAGCCTCGCAAGCGCAGGGTCCCAAGTTCGATCCCCAGTACCAAAAAAACAAACCACTGCTCTGTGAAACCATTATTATCTTAATGGAAGCTTATAGCACTGATTCTCAGTTCCTGCAACAAAAGAAATGATCAGTTCTAAGAGTCAGACTCAGTTACAGAAGCCAAGATTTTTCTGTAGTCCTCTAACAGCTCTCCCAATACCTGGTCGCAATACCTTTGACCAGTCAGGAAACATCTTGCAATAAACAGTATCGCGTGGTGACACAGGAATAATTTATCTTAATTTGTTTATAAAATGTATTAGAAGAAACCAAATCCCCACATCATTTTTCAGGGAAGAAAACATGTTTTATTAACTCCTCTCAAATAGTATTTGTAACATAATGAATTGCTAGAAAAAGAGCCTTTTAAATATCAGACAAAATGTAAATGTTGTTTCTGATGGTTTAATGTTCACAGTTGGAATTTAATACTTAATTTCATGTAAATAAAGAAAATTTTCAGTACTATTAACATCAGGAGATATTTTTTCTCCCTCTTTAGTCGAGTATGTAGTAGTTTACATTAACTTTTTTTCTTCTGTAACTCTTGTTCTTTTTGACATTCACAGGTGGGTTTTAAATTTTTTCTAAGTTTGTCACTCATACAGTCTTAAGTTTTTCTTTTCATCTTGATTTTCTTTGTATGGATCTCCATTAGATAAATGTTGATTATTTCAAGTTGATTTAGTTCAAATGGATGTTTTTATTTTCCAACTATTTCTCTTGTCTGTGGCTCTTCCTTCTGGGAGATTTCTTCATCATTATCTTCCTTTCTTTCTGTTAAGTTTTTCTTTTTATTATTTTAGTCTGAATGCTAGTGGCTATCCTCAGCTGTTAAGCAGGATTGGGTTGTCTGTTTTTTGTGTGTGTGACTTCATCCACAGGTATCATTTAATATGATAGGTTGCATGTAGACCTTTAAGTAGAGGGGAAACCCATAATGCTCCCCTTAGGGCTGTAAGTGCATATGGCCATGCCCAGCATGATTGAGTTGTTTTGTTTGTTTGTTTGTTTGTTTTTTTGGTACCGGGGATCAAACTCGGGACCTTGCACTTGTGAGGCAGGCCGTGGAACCACTGAGCTAAATCCCTGGCCCGTAATTGACTTTTTTTAATCTTAAAATTTCCCATCCATTTTTCTGTTCAGAGTTTGTCTTACATATCTGAGGAGTCTTACATATTTCATCTTATGAGTTTGTTTTTATCTCTATATATTTATGGTTTAGCTCTTTATGAGTAGAAAATTAGTCCTGAATTCATTTCTAAATACTGTGAAGACATGAAAAGGCAGTTCATTTTTGTATATTTATTTGATATCTACTTGTCAGACTCTTGGAATTTCAAGCTATGTATCCATCTACACTTGATTTTATCATTGCATTTAGTAGATCTTCTAAAAACTATACAATAATAATTGTAGTAGCAGATAATCTTGTTTTTTCATCCCTGGTTTTCAGGTAAATGACTATAGTGAGTCTCCATTTAGAATCGTGCTTTCTTAGTAACAACTTCATTGAGATATACTTGATAAGGCAAATAGGGTATAGTGCAATGGTTTTAGTGTAATAAAGTATATAATTCAGTGGTTTTAAGTGCATATATGGAGTTGTGCAACTCTCACTACATTTGATTTTAGAAGATTTTCGTTACCACTAAAACTCCATACCCATTAACAATCATTTCCTTTCCTTTTCTTCTCTTCCTCTCACCACTGGCCATAGGTAACTTCTAATGTGCCTTCTTTTGTGGATTTGCCTATTCCAGATGTTTTATGTAAATGGAATCAAATAGTATATGATACTTTGTGACTGGGTTCTTTCAATTAGCCCCATTTTCAGGGTTCATCTGTGTTATAGCAAGAGCCATTATTCAATCCTATTTTATAGTTGTGTAATGTATAAATATACTGCCTTTTCTTTATTTTTGAGTTGATGGGCATTTGCATTTTCTGGTTTTTTGCCTGTTATAAATAGTGCTGTTGTGAACTTCTGGTGTGGATATGTACTGTCAGTTCTTTGAGTATTTACACACGGTAGGTATGGAAATACTGGCTCTGTGTTAACGTATTAAGGAATATCACACTGTTCTGCAAAGTATACCATTTTGTGCTCTTACCAGCAGTGTATGAAGACTCTTCGTTTTTCCACTTCCTTACTACTATTTGTTATTGTGTCTTTTGATATATAGCCATCGTAATAGGCCATAGTGATTTTTTAGCTTTTAGCTCCTTGTGATCTCCTATTGTCTTTAATCTTTCTTTCTTTCTTTCTTTCTTTCTTTCTTTCTTTCTTTCTTTCTTGCATGATTTAGGAAGAACAGTTTGAAGCCATATTGTCAGCAGCAATTCAGACAAGTTCTCTGGGACTTTTGATTGGTTGTGTCAGAAATTGGATAACACAAGGTAAGACTATTAAAACATGTTCTTTTGTATTGTTTAAGTTAGCAGATCATGTTTTCTTGTTTTTTTAAAAAATAGTTTATTGTGAGATAATTGTACATCATATACAGTTGTAAGACATAACATAGAGAAAACCTGCGGACTCTGTGTATCACATTTCTTCCCAAGTGATGCAGTCTGGCAAGCGTCTGGTATAGTTGTCCCCCAGGTTGCGTCCCCCGCCCACCACCACCTGCCTTCCCTTTGCCCTACCCCTAACCCTTGGCAACCACTAATCTCTGTTCCTACAATTTTGTCATTTCAAACATCTTCATAAGTGAAATCCAATAATATGTAAGGTTTTGGGATTGAGTTGTTTTCAGCATCTCTGGAGACTCATCCAGGTAGTTGTATGTATTGCTCAAACTCTTTACACACATACTATATTTTTGTCCTGAAGTGTTTGAGAATAAGGCATGCTTATTTATGCATATGTATTTTAGTATTGTTTCCTTCTATTTTTTAATTTCATTGGTACATTTTAGATATACATGATAATATTTATCATATGGAATTTGTACCTGTACATATGTTTGTTTATATATATATATATATATATATATATATACACACATATACCTTCTTCTTTTCTCATTTCCCTCTGCTCCCTTCAACCCCTTCCCCCCCTTATTTATAAAAACTTTGTTTCCATTTATTCCTCCTATTCTTTTTTCCTTTTCCCTTCCTTCCTATTTCTCAGTATCTCTTACTACCCTTATTTACCCTTTCTAATTGAACATTTTCTTTCCATTTCCAATATCTAATATACATTTGGCCTTTATGTGCACTTTCAGTATCTCACACCACAGAAACCATGCGATATTTGAATGTGTTGTCTGATTTATTTCACTTAAGAGTAAGGTTTCAAGGTGCATCCATTTACCTAGTAATATCTCATATTTATCCTTCTTTATGGTAAAATAATACTCCATTGTATAAAAAAAAAAACTACATCGTCTTTATCCATTCATCAGTTGATGGACATTTGAGCCTGTTTCAAAGATTTACTATTACACAGGCTGGGGATTTAGCTCAGTAGTTCTGCCGCCTTCCTCGCAAGCTCAAGGTCCCAAGTTTGATCCCTGGTACCAAAGAAAAGAAAAAAAGATTTACTGTTACAAACTGTGCTGCTGCAAACCTGAGTATACATATATTATTATGGTATGATGCTTTTAATGTTTTCAGGAAATTACCAGGAAGTCTTTAGATGGAATTTGGGGTCTTCTATGTAGAATATCATGTCATCTGCAAATAATGATAATTTAACTTCTACCTTTCCTGTCCTTATTCCTTTTATTCTTTCTCTTGTTTAAATGCTGTGGCTAATGTTTCCAGAACTATAATGAATAAGAGTGGTGATAGTAGACATCCTTGTCTTGTTCCCGAATTTAGAGTAAAAGCTTTCAGCTTTAGACCATTTAATATGATGTTGGCTGTTGGTTTGTCATAGACAGCTTTTATCAGATTGAGATAAAGACATCTGTTCCAATTTTCTGTAGGGTTTTTATCATGAATAGGTGTTGGATGTTGTCAAATGCTTTTTCTCTGCAAAAGCTTTTTAGTAAGATGAGATCCCAGTTGTTGGTTCTTTGTAATATTTCCTATGCTTACTTATAAATCTTTAGCTGGGGCCAGGGATTTAGCTCAGTGGTTTCGCCACCTGCTGTGCAACTGCAAGGACCCGGGTTTGATCCCTGGTACCCTAAATAAATAAATAAATAAATAAATAAATCTTTACCTATACCTAAGTCTTCAAGAGTTTTACTCTTGTTTTATTTGTCTTCCAGCAGATCTAGTGTACTGATATTTATTTCTGTACTGATATTTAGACCTTTCATCTATCTCAGTTTTAGTTTAGTGCATGATGAGAGATAGTGGTCTAATTTTAGTCTTTGGCATGTGGAAGGCCAGTTTTTCCAGCACCATTTATAAGAGGCTATCTTTCTTCCAGTGAAGATGTTTTGCTTTTTCTGCATCTATTGAGATGATCATGTGGTTTTTGTCCTGGTTATGGTGTATTACATTTATTGATTTGCATATGTTGAACCATCCTTGCATCCCTGGGGTAAATCTGACTTGGTCAAGATGTATGATCTTGATGAACCTCTGTATTCTATTTGCCAGTATCTTATTGAGGATTTTTGCATATATGTTCATTAGGGAGATGGGCCTGTAGTTCTGTTTTTTGGTTGGGTCTTTCTCTGGTTTTGATACTAGGGTAATGCTTGCTTTCAAGAATGAATTTGGGAGTATTGTTTCCCTTTTAATTTCACTGAAGAGTTTGAAGAGTAGTGGCATTATATCTTCTCTAAATTTCTTGTAGAATTCAACAGTGTAATCGTCAGGTCCTGGGCTTTTCTTTCTTTTTAAGTTTTTAATTACATTTTCAATTTCATTGATATTGGGTTATTTAGAATTTTTATATCTTCTTGATTCAGTTTTGGTAATTCATATGTTTCTAGGAATCTGTCCATTTCTTCTGTGTTATCCATCTTATGGATAACATTTTCTCTAAGTAGGTATTGATGATTTCCATTTCTACAAGATCCATTGTGATTTCACCCTTTTCATTCCTAATTGCATGGCTTTGCATCACTGCGCCCAGCTGAAATTTGACTTCTTTAAGATCTTTCTCATGATAAGCTCAAGTTGCAAGTTTAAAGCTTTCCTATAGAAAATGATGTGCTCCCTGATGAGATGCACTTAGCAGGATACATTTTATTAGATTGTCTACATTAATGATGGTGCTTCTTTTGAGAACTTGGTTTAAGTGCTATCACTGGAAAGTTAATAGTTTTCTGTTTGTGATTAATAATATTCTTTATTTTTTATTTTCATTTTTCCAAATAAGAACAACCAAATTCTGCTGTTAATTTGCGCTTTGTTCTGGAGTGGACGTGGAATAAAGTGATTATCACAAAAGAGGAATTTGACAAACTATGTAAGTATTGTCTGGATTTAGGGCAAAATTTGTTAGTAAAATACTAATCTTCGATTATAAGTACATAATAATTTTTAATCATTTTGAAAATTGTAAGCGCTTAAAATTAAAGAAGTCCCAGAAGGAAACTATTTATTTTTACATTAAAATGAGGAGAATAATTTTTGTTCAGATTTTTCAGTGAATTTTTAAACTGGCAACATGCTATAATACCAAGGTTCAGAATTACTCATCTTTTGGTCCTAAGAGTTTAATTTACAAACAGTGCTGATGGATTAAGGGGGAATGTGCCAACTAACTTCAGGAACCCATCTCTACTCATTTTCTATTTAAAATGTTTATGGATATGAAGAAACTACATGGCAAAATAAAATTGATACCTCTACCAAGAATATATAGATGAGGTTATCATCATGCCAAGTCATTCTTTATAATCTTATTAATCTGTTGTATACTTTGACTCAATTTTGAGGTATCCAGTGAATATTAAAAACTCATCATGTCCAGTAAATGCAAAAATAACACAAAGTGCTAGTGATTAGAGTCCTTCTACACATCTGGCCCCCAGATGCTGGGTATCAACCTAGGGCATCACATATGCAAGTGCTGCTCTACCATTGAGCTATATTGCCAGCCCAGTACTTAGTAATTAGAGGTATATGACTGCACTATAAGTGAAAATAAATTATTTTCCCCTATTTTTGAGGCCCAAGCTGGCCTTAGACTTATAATCTTCCTGCCTTAGGCTCCTGAGTGCACCACCACATCTGGCTAAAACTTAACTTGATTTAGATGTGTATGTTTTGTTCATTATTTTTGTGTCGTGGTAAATGAAGATCAGAGCTTTTGAAGACATTTAACTACAAAAGTAACACAAATTATTCTCAGTAGAGGATTTTTAAGCCAGGAAAACGTGACAGGAACACATGGTTCTATAATATTTTTATGTCATAATTAGGAAACTACAAAGATAGAATTATTAATTTTAAATACTTTAGTAACCACTTAGCACAGCTGAAGTCTAGAAGAATGCTTGATAATTCAGATAAGGTGAAAATTATTTAAGAGGAAAATGTCAGCTGATTACATATGTTTTATAAAAGAAAAAAAATTAGTTCAAATCAATTTATAAATTGTATGACTCATGTTTTGAGCATAATGTGGTATAATGTAGAATTGGTAATTGAACTGTTGTTGAAGCCTTGAGCTTCTTTGCTGGTTGAGGTTTTGTTTTTGGGTTTTTTTTTAGATTGATAACCTCTAAGGATAATTAAAATGCAGAGCATAAGTGTTTTGGGTGTTTGTTTGTTTGTTTGTTACTGGGGATCCAACTCAGGACCTTGTGCTTGCAAGGCAGGCAGTGGAACCACTGAGCTAAATCCCCAGCCCCACATAAGTGTTTTTAATGTATTGGAAATAAAGTAAACTACCCATTGATTTCAAAGATTTTAGAGTTAAGATAATTATTGTGTAGACCAATCCCACACTAAATAGTAATGTGATTAAATTGGTTATTAGATATCTTATGATATGTAATGGTTATGAAGAAAAGCTCTAGATCTGTATTGTTTGAGTTCACATTCTCATTCTGATTCTTGCTGGATTTATGTTGAGGCATATTGTAGGTTCCTTGAGGACACTGGCTATTTCTAGCATGCCTTGCAAATCTCATAATATGTAAAGTAATTCTTTTGAGTATTAAGAATTTTAGAAAATCTGTGTTTGTGTTTCTAATTAACTCAGATTTACTGTGTGAAAACTAGTCTTGTATTTTATCCTTAAAAGGTACACCGTTATTTGATGGATCGTGTCGCTTCATTGATCCACAAACTATACAGTCTATGCAGCAGTGTCATTTGCTATTTAGCAATCTTACGACAGTCTTAAGCTGTTTTGTAACAGAAGCCCAAGAGATCACTGAGAGAGGTATGCTCTTTGTTTTTTATAAATGAGTGTTTTACTTCTTGACTTTGTGAAAGAATAAAGTTTCTATTTCCAAGGTGGATCATTGTATAAAGAGAATATTTTTTAAATACTAAAATATATTTTATGTAAAGCTACAGAATAAGCTTGGGAAATTCTGGAGTTGGAGTGAAAATTAATGACTATTAGGGTAGTGTACTTCCAGTTGAATTTTAAAATTTTAAATTACTCGTATACTTTTATTCAAAAAAATGACTTAAGTTTTTTCTCTGTTTTACCATTTCAACAAATCAAAAAAAGGCCAATTTTATTCAAAGGCATGATTTAAGCAATCTGTATTAATGATATTGTAATAGCTTGCAAAAAATGTCTGTAGTCAGTGACTTACTTGTAGTATTTTTGGAAATTTGCTTCACATAATTTTGGACCAAAATGAATTAGATACAAGCTACATTTGTTCAGAGTGTATACCTATTGTTAAGAATTACCAAGTAATTAATTTGTTTTGAAAACTGAGTATATTGAGTTTTTTGTTTCTTTGTGATTGATAAATTGAAAGTTAAACAACTAATGTTAACTCTTCTCTAATAGGATTTATGGAGCTAAGCAATAAGTACACGGTTACACAGCTCATCTGTCAATATGCACAAATGGTTCTGTGGTTCTCTCATTGTGGGCTTTTGCCAGAAGGCTTAGGTAAAATATTTATTTAACCTCTTAATACTAAAACATTATTAAATCTTCAAAATTTTGTTGTTCTGTTCTGATGCTTTGCTTCCTCTTTCACCTTACTTAGTTTTCTTCTTACATTCTTATTCTCTTTGTATCTTCAGTGCCTCACCCCTCTGTTATGCAGGTTCTATATGTGCTCATTGGATCAAGTAGCATACAAAAGGAAAGCAAATTTTGAGGAAACATGGCTTCTGAAATGAGTTCAATAGTATCACTATCTGTAATTTAGATGCATGGAATTGTGGTTTTTATTACCTAATTTGCTGATAGCTTTCTTGTTTAGTGTTCTGTTAACTGCCACTATTTGCCATCAATTGAATACTCTTATTGAAAATTCTTAGTATTGGCTTTTACTGTACAGTGTTTGTTTGAAACAAACCCTCCAACTTGCATTTCCAGGAAGCACATTACATTTTATTTAGAAGTGTCTCTGCCACTACACACACTTGTATAGTTGTTGTTGGTCTTATTCTTTTAAATTGTTTGATTTTGATTTGAACAAATAATATAGTTTGCTTGCAAATTATTGCTTGTACCAAGAGAGTAAAATTATTTAAAACACTTTCTAGTGTTTTAAGCCAGCCAGCATATTTGTTAAAACTTTCATGAGATAATTTTCTCACTTGTATGTCTATAAATAAAAGGATGTATACTATTCTTGCATTTAGCAACCCTGCAAGTTAAGCAGTATTATAAAATTACAGTAAAACATGAGTATGTATAATCGTAAATATTGTTGAGATACTTTGGTAACATTACTAAGTTTTGTTTTCTAACTCTCAGATGATGCTGTGCAGTTGTCAAGGTTATGCTACAACTACCCTGTAATTCAGAGCTACTACACCAGTCGCCGAGAGAAATGTGAGCGTTTATCAAGGTATAGTACCTCCAGACCTTCAAAACACCTTTGAGAAATTCTTCTGTAAAAAGTTAAATATTCTCAGAACCGAGTGCATCATGTTATATAAAATAATTAAGTAGGTAGAATTCTGAGTAAAATATCAGAATTTGTTATTGGTGTTGCTATTTTAATTTTGTTTGCCCTAACTTAATAATTACATTTTATTTTAAATTTTAGTGTTCTGTCATGTCCTGAATTAAACTATTTACTGTGAGTGACAGTTAGAGACTCTGTAACTTAATCCTGTTTTATATTGAGAATTCTTATTCAGAAAAAGAAGAATCTATTAAAAAGGCATATCACCAAAGTTATTTTATCAGTTACTTTTCAAAACTTCAGCTTTTTCTTTTGTTTTTATTTATTTTTCTCTTTTAAAATACATGAATAGACTACTTGGTTCCTTTGAAATAAAGTAATACAAAGGCCGGGGGATTTAGCTCAGTGGTTCTGCTGCCTGCCTCACAAGCTCAAGGTCCTGAGTTCCATCCCTGGTACCAAAAAATGAATGAATGAATGAATGAATGAATGAAATAAAGTAGTAGAAAAAGAAAGAAGTATATAGAGCCTGGGCCCTGTCTCTGAAATTAAGTACCCTTTTTCTTTTTTTTGTCTTTGTTTTGTTTTGTTTTGGTTTTTGTTTTTGGTACTGGGCATCAAACTCAGGACCTTGCACTTGTGCGGCAGGCGGCGGAACCACTGAGCTAAATCCCCGAGTACCCTTTTTCTTAGGATAGAGCAATAAGTAACATTTAAAGCAGTGATTCACAAACATTAATTCCAGTTTTCTTAGGTCAAAATCACGTGGGGTTCAGTATCTTAAAAGCTATGCCAGCTATAATTCTGATGCATGATACATTGTTAGAAACAATGCTTTAGGATAACCTAGGATTATGAAACGATAATGAACTTGGGAGACTGATTAGACATTTTAAAATTCTAGATTTGTTATTTCCTAAGAGTATGTCCTTGGGTAGGTTTGCTATACTTTCTGATGCTATTTGCTTATCACATTCTAAGAGCGCAATAGTACATTTTTGGATGAAGGAATCACTAAGGATAAAGATTGGCCCTAGTGATGAATACGAAGTATAGCTCTTTGAACTGCAGTTATTTTCTACACTGGGATGTGCTATGCTATGGTAATTTGATCAAAGTTGTGAAAAATAGAATAGTATTGGATATTTGACTACTTGTACTACGTTCTTTCCTAGGACTTGACCTTGACTGACTGGCTTGCTGAAGACTGACCTTGAGGCAGCTTCAGGGTTTATCTGACTAATGTTCCTTTATTTCTGTAGTTCTCATGATGATAACTGAAGTTAAATTCTCATCTCTCTCTTTTCTTTGGTAGTTGGATTGTTACTTTTTAAAGTTTATTACTTATTGTTTTGATGCCAATAATTATCACTAATATTAAACAGTCCGTAATTTTTTTCTCATATTGCAGAGGGAAGTGGAACCAGAATTGCTTGTTGATTGATGGATTGGTTTCTCAGTTAGGAGATCAAATTGAGCAGTTGTGGAAAAGAGATGAAGGAGGCACAGGAAAATACCCTCCTTCTAGCTTACACGTAGGTTTATAGTAACATGCTGTCACTTTTAAATGTCTGTGAAAGTTGGCAAGGGAAAAACAAGCTTGGCTATATTTTTCATACCTGGCACAACAGTCTATGGAAAACAAGGGGAATGGGCCGGGGATTGAGCTCAGTGGCTCTGCTGCCTGCCTCGCAAGCACAAGGACCTGAGTTCGATCCCCAGTACCAAAAGAAAAGAAAAGAAAAGAAAATGGGGAATGAATTACCATAAAATTCATTGAACTTTTTATCTTTTTTTATAGGCACTACTGGACATCTATTTATTAGACAACATTAGTGAGACAAACAAACATTGTATTGTATCCTTTATAAATTGTTATCAAATAATTTTTATATTGCCAAAATCATAAAATTTCAGGGTAGTATAATCTAATCTCAATGTCATGTTTGAATTTTTATTTAGCCCAGGATCTGTTTATTGGTATAGGATGGCCTATGATTAAACTAAAGCTATGCAAAACCTTGTTTTACGTTTGTTTATCTAGGGATATCATTGACTTCTATCAGATTCTCAGCTATTTCTAACACACTCAAGAACAGTTGCTCTAGGAACCAGGGTGGGGAATGGGATTAGCTCAGTGGTAGTTGCTTAGCATGTACCGGGCCCTGGTTTCAATCTCCAGTACCATAAAACAAAGGCTCCTGGAGCAGGAAGGTTGCAAGTTTGAATTTTACCTGGGCCACTTAAGCAAGACCGTATCTCAAATAAACAGAAAAGCTGGAGAATGTAGCTCAGTGGTGGAGAGCTCCAGTTGGCTCAGCCCCCAGGGTGGCCAAAATAACCTGGTGGCTCAACTGCCAGCTTTTGCCCCATAACTGGATTTGACCTACAGCTTTGCTTTCTGGAGCTGCTAGGCAAGTCTCTTAAATTTGTTGCTTTGTGAAGAAAGTGTGCTTTAGTAAAGCCTATCTCCTTTGAGATGGTAGTGAAAAAATATTGAGAAAAAAATGAAGTTGGCATGGGACTGGGTGTGCCTGCACGTAACAAAACTGTATTCCCGTAGCTGGATATCCATTAAGGCTTTGTGAACACAAAAAGGCTTTCAAGCCTAAATGATGCTACAATCCATTGCTACCTATTCTAAAAGTATTATTGCAGAAATTTTTCTTTGTTGTCCTTAATCCTCTTTTTAAAAGACCATTTATTTGCTACTTGATATTATGTATTCCTTTCCAAACAAAACAGATACTCCCATTGAATCTTTTCCAACTGCCTTTGCCATTTCCTGGGGTCAGGTTAAACTTATTCAAGGATTTTGGCTGATAGATCATAGTGACTATGAGGTAAGTCTGTAGTAGTTACTAGATTTTAAGAAAAGCATACATGGTTAGGTTAAATTTGATATTGAAGATGATGCAGTCTATTTCCTGAGGTAATTTAAGAAGGATTCAGTTTAATCAGTGCCTTCACCAAACACTACGTAAGGTAGCAAAAATACAGAATCTCAGGTTACCTACTGTTGAAAAAGGAAACAAACAAATTAACAGAATAGTGAAAATACTGTGATTATTAAAAGTACATTTGGGATGTTGGAAATTTGTGGTGTATAAGAAATACTCTTAAACAGTATTAAAAAGTCTTGAAAGTTTGAGGCTTTTGAGAAAACTTTAGGGCCGGGGATTTAGCTCAGTGGTTCCAGTGCCTGCCTCGCAAGCACAAGGTCCCAAGTTCAATCCCCGGTACCAAAAAAAACAAAAACAAAAACAAAACAATAAAATAAAATGTACCATAATGTAGCCCTTTTCCGTTTATATTTAAACTGATTTTATCTTGTTTTTTGTGCTTCTTTAATAAAGCTTGTCTTTTTAAACATCTTGTACAATGCAAAGCTCTGTTATATTTATATTTAGCACTTTTCACATCATGTTTTTGCAGAGTGGTTTAGATCTACTGTTTCACCCAGCTACTGTAAAACCTGAGTCATGGCAGCATTCAAAGATCATCCAAGCCTTCATGAGTCAGGGAGAGCACAGACAAGCACTCAGATATATACACACGATGAGGCCAGCTGTGTCCAGTGGTGGTGACATTATCCTTCACCTCACTGTTTTACTTTTCAATAGGTAAGTACATTTTTTGAAATAAGATGGAATTGATGGATTAATTCCATTACCTAATATTCTTATGTATCTTTGATCTTTCAATGTTGAGAAAAGGTATAGCATTTTATCTAGAATAAGATGAATAGGAAGTATCTTGAGTAAAAGGGGTGTCATTATATCTGTTGCTAATTCACAACACCGGTAGTCTCCTGCATGGTCAGTTGAGAGTTAAGTATGCCAAAAGAACCCATAGAGAGAGAATTAAGTTGTGTTGTATAGACTTGATAAATTATATTTTGGGGGAGTTTTTGCTCAGTAATAGAGCTCTGATTTTTTTAAAATATTTGTTTCTTAGGTATTACATTTCTTTGCATTTTAATTTTGTCATTGTATTTGCCATTGAATTCTCTAGAATGGAAATCTCAGACAGTTGTTTAAATGATTTAAGAAAGTTAAGTTTCATGTCTCAATAATTCAGTAAGATTTGAGCAAATGATATCTTTGTTTTTTCCTTTAGCAATATTGTAATGCTCTTTAAATCTATATGATGTACTTCATTTATATCTTTATACATATTGCTGCAATTATGTTTATAGTGTACATAATAATTGACAAATGACATGATTGGAAATATGGTGGCCTAGTTATTGGGTTTTCATGTTAAATTAGTTGGGGGCCAGTGATTTAGCTTAGTGGCACCATGCCTGCCTCACAAGCACAGGTCCTGAGTTCAGTCCTTGGTACCAAAAAAAAAAGGTGATGTTAAATTAGCTGGGGAAATTGCTCAGAGCTGAAATCTTTTACTAGATTGTAACTTTGTCTTATATAACTTATATTGGTTTTATTCAGTCCTATTGCTTGATCATTTTTATATATATATATAGATATTTTTATATCATTTTTATATATTTATATATTTATAAATTGGGCACTTATCCCAAATTACCATATATGCATCAAACATCCCTTTAATCTCAGTACCCTGAAAATTAAGTTTTCTTTTTTCTCTTTAGTTAAATACAATGTATTTCTAACTGTGAAGGTTTGGATCTCCAGATTTTAGACAGAAAAAGTTTTGAAGCTAGACATATAGAAACTTAACAATGACTTCAAAACTGATAAATTAAGGACTCAGTGAGATGATCTGCATTAGCAAAAGTGTGTGACTAGTTTAATAAATCTAAGAGGGTGTATTGAACCAAAATTGTTTTATGGCACACATCTGTGCACTCTTATGAGGTTAAGGCAGGAGGATTACAAATTTGAGCCAGGCCTGTTCAACTTAATGACTTAGACCCTGTCTGGGCTGTAATCCGCATAAAGGCCCCTGGATTCAATCCCCAGTACTGAAAATACAAAAGAATATATAGTTTCAGTAAGCTTTATTATAAGAACAAAAACTTTTAAAGAAGTAAATGTGATAATAATATGTATTAGAAGTTAAAGTTGTGTAGGCAACCAGTGTGTAAATTTTTTTCAGTTACATGAACTTCTCACTCTTCAGTGACATTGAGTCACTAATGCTTATATCAGAAGAGCAAATATTAGAACCTTGAAAAAGAAACACTTTTGAAGTGTTGCTGAGTTCTCCTTTTCTCCTTGTTTCTGTTATCTCTTAATTTGGACAAATTAAGAGCATTTCTCTGATTTGCTATATTCACTTCACATTTCTTCCTTAGATATATAGTGGACAAACCTAAATAATTTAATTTTTAAACTGTATTTCTCTTAAGAGAACTACTACTCCCCCCAAAATTAGTATATTCAGTAGAGATGCAAAAACAGGTAACTCCAAATGCCATTTGTGCAATCGCTTATATTTAGATTCAGTAAATGTTAAAAAATAATTACTAGAGTCTGAGAGTGTAACTTAGTGGTGGAAAACGTGCTTGGCATGAAGGAGGCCTTGGGTTCCATCCCAACAGGCTAACCCGCGCCCCCCCGCCCCCCAAACTATTTTTCTCCTAACTAGAGTGGTTTGAATGTTGCTAAAAAGAAGATTGGTAAGACAGTGGTGATGATTGTTTTGTTTTGTTTTTTGAGATGAGAGCCTGGGTGTTTTGCCTAGGCTGGTCTCCAAATTCTGAGCTCAGTTTATTCTTCCACCTCAGCCTAGCTGGGACTAACTACAGATGCCTGCCTAGGTGACGGTTTTTACTGAAAGTATGAAAACACTTTGTAAGAAAGCCTCTTTAGTTTTTGAATTGATAATTGCACTGGGAAGCCATATATTATTGTGTAGGAAATTGTACAACAGTGTGATCTGCACCCCAGTCTTATCAGAAAGAAGCAAAATTTTTTTTTTTAAGCTGATTCACAGGGACTTATTCAAGAAATCACAGTTCCAGGATATGTATTGTGACCAGTGCATAATTACCTGGTTTCCTCAAATACCTCCCTCTCTAATCCAACACAGTGATTAACTGATAAGACTTTTAAACATCATTAGAGGCGAAATTTGAGAAATTTGAACCAGAATAAGAGGTTAAGCTACATAGTGATCTTGCTGTCATACTTATCATATGCTGTGATTGCATAATATTATGATGGCTGAAAAAGTTCTAATATTTCAAGCACAGAAACACTAACCCTCTCCTCAGGACTCATCCTATGCTATGTAATTGTTACTGTGATTTCAAACTTTATAGTAGTGATATTGTCTATTAGTAAATCTAAAATCCTTGAAAGTAATTATATTGGAACAACCATTGATTGTAGCATAGATATTAAGAGATATGTTAAAGATGTAAGGAAATAGTCCCTGGGATCAAATAGATTCAATTTATACCTGCACTGTACCATTTTCTTAAAAATATGACCAAAAGCAGTTTATTTTTTCTGAGGTTTAGTTTCCTCATTTGAAATACAGGGTTAGTAAGGCCCACCTTGCAATAGTTTGAGAGTTAAATGAAGCAAGCACTATTACATGATTGCTTGCAAAGTAGTAAATCATTAGTAAATGGTGGTAATGGTTGATCAGCCATCTTTATTCTCTGTGAAACTTCTCAACTTGACTTCTGACTCTTGTTTGTGTGTGTGTGTGTGTGTGAGTGGTTTTTTGAGACAGGGACTCACTTTATAGTTCATTCAGGCTGGCCTTGAATTCACTATATAGCCCAGGGTGGCCTACGCCTCTGGAGTGCTGGGATTACAGACATCCGCCACCACACCTGGCAACTCTTCACTTTAAATTTAACTAGCTCTTCTTTATTAAGATATCTTTCTTCTTCCCTAAAACTTACAGTGGTTCCTTTTCAATATTAAAAGCTCTACTTATGGATATACTGTTGTTACTATGTATGGCTTAGCTGCTTTGCTTGCAGGTTAACTATGATGCATTGTGTAATGACAGAGTTGAGGTACAAAGCCTTTATCTGGCCAATTGTTAACATTGTTTATATTCAGTTTTAGTATCATTAAGGTACAGTAGAAAACTTGTATAGGTATAATCATTGTTATAAATTCATTCTTCTCTTCCCTCCTTTCTGTGATTTTATTCTGATTCTTTTAAATTGAAGTTGGTTATCTCTCACTTTTAGCTTTTTTCATCATTATTTTAAAATGTAAATCTGATTGTTCTACATATTACTTTTTATTCCCATTATGATTTTTTCTTTTCCCTGCTATTTAGTTTGATTTATAAGTAATGGGCTAGGGCCGGGGATTTAGCTCAGTGGTTTCGCCGCCTACTGCGCAAGTGCAGGGACCTGAGTTTGATCCCTGGTACCAAAAAAACAAAACAAAACAAAATAAATAAATAAATAATGGGCTTTTTAATTGTTGGGTTTCTAATTTAATTGCAAACTATAATTACATGATGTTATCCAGATAGACTCCTTACACCCATAGAACCATTTGCCCACTGGTAAGTAGTCAGTGTATTGTCCATTTATTAGGTGAAGTGTCATATGTTTACCTAAAAGATCAAGTTTCTTCATTGTGTACTTTTAACCTTTTTCCTTAATGGCTTTTTTTTTCTGTTCTCTTTAATAAATTACTAAGAGTATACTAAGTTGCCTACTGTGATACAGAATGTGTCAGTTCTTGCAATACTCAATTCTTTGACTGTTAACTACATAAGTTAAAATTTTTTATAACTAACTATAGCCTTTTGTTATTGTCTTTTGGCAATATTAGGGATAGAACCCAGGGCCTTGCATGTGCTCTTAACACCGAGCCACGAGCCACATCTGTAGTCCTGCCTTATATTGTTATGCAGTAACCTTCCTTATCATGAACAGTTGTTAATATAGCCATGTTAATGTTCGTTACTTATCCCCTGTATACCTTTCCCAGTCTTATTCCTTTTATTCTGGTCACTGGGGATCAGTAGTTACTTCTTGGCCAGTCTGGAATTTCTTTTTTTCATTTTAATTTTTGACATATTTTTTCTTTTTTGGTACGAGGGATCAAACTCAGGACCTTGCGCCTTGCCAGGCAAGCATGGCACCGCTGAGCTACATGCTCAACCCTTTGATGTGCATTTTAAAAGATCGTTTTGTATTCACTCTACTGTCTTAAGATAGTTTGTCAGAGGAAAGTTTTTCAGCAACCTTCTCTACTGTGTTGCCAAGAATTCCCTACACATTGATTACTAAAGTCACTTAGTCATCACAGTCCTGGAGATTGAGCCCAGGGAATGCTGAACTACATCCCAGCCGCCGCCCCCCCCCCCCCCCCCGCCTTTTTGAGACAAGACAAGGTGTCACTAAATTGCTCAAATTTATGATCCTCCTGCTTCAGCCTCCTAAGTAGCCAGAATTATGGAATGATTTCTTACATTTAACTGCCAGCATTCTAGTTTTTTATCAGTTGAAATCATTTTCTTACTATTCTTTATAGAATCATGACTTTCTAACAGGAGGCAGGATAATTATAGAATATAAGAACTTTCTTGTTTTAAAATTTATATTAGTTTTGGCAGTCTGGGGGTAACTATGTTTTTTCCTCCTGTTGGGAAGCTGACTGAGAAAGAACATGATTTGTCTTTTGTTTAGCAGTGCTCTCTGTACAGTTATAAGTTAATATAGGACCCAGTACTGCAAAAAATAAAATCATATTCTTGTTATTATATCTGCTAAATTAGAAGTGGGCATCACACTTTAAAGTGAAAATCTTTTTAAAATATATACGTGGGCTGGGGGAGGAAAGTCAGGCATATGGAGGTTTTTTGTTTGTTTGTTTTTGATTTTGTGGTTTGGTTTTTTTTTGGTACTGGGGATTGAACTCAGGACCTTGCAATTGCGAGGCAGGCACAGTGCCACTAAGCTAAATCCCTGGCTCAGTTTTTGTTTTTAATAAATCGAATACTTAGCCTGCTTCAACATTTAAAAAAAATATAAATGACCACACTGAATTTCCAGCTTTCTGAATTTCCCCCTTGGGACCTATTTATTATTAATCATTTTAAGTGTATGTTTCATGATGTCTTCTGGACAGATTTTAGCAAAGCTACAGCCACCTCCACATCACACCTTTTAACTAGCATCATGCCATCCCACCTGCGGTCTGCCTTTTTAAACTGAGTTTGGGGTTCATTTCATAATAGTACATAAAGAGCTTCCTTGTTTTTAAGTGATGTGTGGTTGTTCATTATGTGGTTGGATGTACCATTTATTTAATTAGTTCTTTAGTGAACATTCTAAACAATGCAAGATGACTAACCGCATATTGTGCACAGAGAGCTATTTTGTGCCTTGCCCATTTAAATCCTCTGCCTCTTTTTCTGTGTGTTGGGATTTTTCTTAGCCAATTTATTATTATACATTACGGACATGAACCTGATTGCGAGGTGATTTTTTCCTCTTTAGTCTGTCAGTTGTCCTTTTACAATACTTTGCTTATAATAGATTGTTTGAAATTTATTTTGCTATAAGCACTTTTAAAAGATTCCAGCATATATAAAAATAGTACAATTAAGTTTTAGTGTACCCATCCTAAATATGACAGATACCAGGTTTTTATTATACCTTTATTCCTGTATGTGACTTTAAAAATTACTAGTGTGCTGTTCATTTTAGTCGTTATTTTTCTTTCTACGAAAATATTCTCGTTTTTACATTTTTAGATTTTAGTTTAAGGAAAATGTTACATTTTATTTCTGTACACCTGCATATGTATACCTACCCTTCTGTACTCAAGATATAATTAACACACTGTTACACCTGTTTTGAAAAACGAGGTAAAGGACAATTTCACGTGTAAGCTTTTAGAAAATACCACTAAACGTTTTACTCACTTGGGTTGGTAGTGTTTACAAAATCTATAGAATATGTTAAAATATTCTAGTCCCAGAACAACAAAATTAACAGGTAGCCCTGACCCTCCAACAGTAGGTAGGTGCCATTTGCTTCTCTGTGTGACTTTGTACCCACAGAAGTCTCAGACAGTGCTGCCAAAATTTATTTCTGCCCTTACCTTCTGCCATGAAAGTTATCTGCTCTTCCAAAACTTTAACTGGTAGATTAATCAATCTTAGTGTATATCTTTTAGAACTTTTCTTATGTACTTAAGTAGGTGAACATTTACGTATTTTGCTTATTGGTTAGTTTTTGCATATTATACTTACTATATACCATATAGTATATTTGCTTCAAATAGGGCCACATAATAATTCATTATATCACTATATAGTCATACTCATAAATCTTTATGCTTTTGCTGATATTTTTGTAAATTATATTCCTTGAACTGAGATTGTTGCCTGGCTGCCCATGTATATATATTTTAATTTTTATAGATGTGGCCAAGTTAACCTCCAAGACAAGTTAATCAGTGAGGTCTGTGTTGAAAACTGACTTTTTTTTTTAAGCACACAGAATCCCTCTCAAATTCTAAGAGACGCCTAGGTAAGAAGCATTGTTGTTCATTTAAGTGATCTTATTGCTTTACAGAATAAACCATACATGCAGTTGTATCTGCACCTGTCAAATTTGACACATTCTCCAATCAGATCTTGCTGCAGATTTGCCACAGCATCTGCTATTAAGTTATACCCTTCACCTTCCCATAAATGCAGTTATGCTTATTTCTACCCATGGGGCTTCACTCACGTTTCTTTTTCATATCTCATGCTGAGTGTTAACTACCTTAAGAGCCTTGACTTTTCTCTGTCCAGCAACCAAAGATTCAGTTCTATCCATGTGACCTAAGTTTGCCTCTTTGTGAATGTTTACTTTGTTTCTCAGTTACTTTATACTTAATTAAATCTTTTGTTTGTTTGTTTTTGCAGTGCTAGGGATGCAACCTAGGGCCTCAAGTATGCTAGGCAAGCGCTCTGTTTTATTTATTTTTAAAAACGTCATTTTTTTTTGCATACTGCGGATTGAATTCAGGGCCACCTACATGCTAGACAAGCACTATCACAGAGCTAAATCCCCAGCCTGTTGTTGCTGTTGTTGTTGGTTTTGGGGGGGGTAGCGGGGATTGAACTCAGAATCTTGCATTTACGAGGCAGGTGCTGGAACCACTGAGCTAAATCCCTGGCCCTGCTGTTCTTGTTTTGAGACAGGGTCTACTAAGTTGCCCAGGCTTCCTGGCTCTTTTAACTTGCATATAAAAGTGTCTTTGAGATTCTGTAGGTAGATGACGTGAACATTTTAAATAGCTTTTCTAAAACTAATCTTTGATAAATATTGGTTTCAGGTGCATGGTTGAGGCCTGGAGTTTATTGCGACAACATTCTAATACAGTGAATGTAGAGGAATTACTAAAGCATGTGTATGAAGTATGTCAGGAAATGGGCTTAATGGAAGACTTACTGAAATTACCCTTTACAGACACTGAGCAGGTAATCACTTAGCAATGTACATTTATCAGAAGTCCAGGGTAAACTGATAGTTTTCAAGTCTGTTTGTTCTTTCCAGGAATGTTTAGTGAAGTTTTTGCAGTCCAGTGCCAGTGTTCAAAATCAAGAGTTCCTTTTAGTTCACCATTTGCAGCGTGCCAATTATATCCCTGCCCTGAAGCTGAACCAGACTCTGAGGATTAATCTCATGGTATGATTAAAGTTGTTTCATTGTGTGGGATAAGAAAATAAGAAAAACTGAAGACTTGGTTTGTTTGTTATGTAAGAGTTTGTAGTTTGATAACACTTTGACTTATATTGTCATCTACTAGGAGAATCTGCTCCCCATCTGTATAGCATTACTTTGAACTGAGTATTATTACTTAATTCTCTTATGCATTCCATTTATGTTCCGATGTTTTCCCATAATCTTCCCAGATTACGCACTTGACTTGTAAAATTAGAGGAAGAGGTAGAGGACAGCAGTAGGAGTTATATAGTGCAAAAACATTGGACTTCAGGGGTTGGTCTGATTCCTAATTTGCTCTGCGTGATTAGGACATACTCTGAACCTTAGTTTCCTCATCTATAAATGCTAATAATTTCCTTATGAGGTTGTTGTGAAGATTCACAGAAGTATACTTTATATTGACAAAGTAACGTGTTGGCCTGTCACATATGGATGCTTAAAAATTGATAACCAGTTTTTATGGTGAAGAATCCAGGCTTAGTAGTAGGGATTGGGAATTTGTTGATGGGTAAGGAATTGTTAAGTTTGTTTTTGAAGTCTTAATTTTGGAAAAATGTAGATAGGAGATAGATATTCCTAGATATTCTTAATTATTATTATTTTGTTTTGGTACCAGGGATCGAACTTGGGTCCTTGGGCTTGCACAGTAGGCAGTGAAACCATTGAGCTAAATCCCCGGCCCCCTTAATTCTGTTTTAAATGGTAAAAACATAACTGTAGGACTCAACATTTTGAAGATTAAATTTTTATCCCTTAATGTTGTATTCAATAGAACAATCGCGATCCTCGTGTACGGGAGAGATCAGTGGCTCGAAATGCTATGTTAGACCAATATGGGAAAATCCTTCCTAGAGTCCAGCGAAAATTAGCCATTGAGCGAGCTAAGCCTTATCATGTGTCAACATCATCAGTTTTTCGAGAGGGTAAGATTTCATTGAAGAATGTCATAAATTCTTAGGCTTGAAGAGACTTTGAACAGTTGCCTTTCTGAAATCATCATCTTAAATATAGCTCACTTTTACTAATACATACTCAATTTTTTGTTTTGTTTTGTTTTGGTACTGGAGATGGAACTAGGGACCTTGCACTTGCGAGGCAGTCGGTGGAACCACTGAGCTGAATCCCTGGCCCCATACTCAAATTTATATGTCATACTTTTTTATTGGCTGCTTTATCCCATGAAGGATAGAAATGTTTTGGAAGTTTTTAGAAGAAACTCACATTATTAAATTTCTGCCTAGCTGTAGCTAAACCAGTATAATTAACTATCATGTCTTCTGTGTTATTATTATTTCATGTTATATCTTGTATTAAAATCCTGTTTAGTAGAGATGTAATTAAATGCTGCATTATTTTACAGTTTCTAGACCAAAACCATTATCAACATTTCCAAAGAAAGCGGTCACTGGAACAGTGTTAACAAGATCTACTTTCATCAATAATGTGTTATCTAAAATTGGAGAAGTATGGGCAAGCAGTGAACCTAGAAATAGCATGTCACTGTACAATAGGTATATTTTTCCTATACCTCTTAAAATCATGTTACTTCTCATCTTTCCTAGCTATCAGTAACATTCATCAGCAGTATTTGGCCATGAAGTTCATTAATGTATATAAAAAGGAAAAGCTCTTTATGTTGGCTGCATTTCTTAGAATGATTTTTATCTTTAAACTTAAAAGTGATATATATTTATTATTGTTTATAAATAATGCAAAAATGTACAAAGTAAAAATGAAAGTCCTTCCCTATAATCATAAAAAACAGCATTTTTGATGTCTTTCATGACACATAATTAAAAGTTAATTTTTTCTTTTGTAGCCCTAAAATAGAAGAACCATCACCTATAGTACATTCTTTCCTACATTCAGAGCTTCCTGAGGCATTTGTTGGAACACCAATTTCAAAAGCATCACAGAAAATTTCTAGGTAAGTTTATTAAATTTTTGAAAATACAATGTTATTATAATAATTACAACTACCATTTGTATTTTTAAAATTTTACAGATCTTAAATTCTTAAAGCAAATTTGTAATGCTTTTTGCTTGTAATTTACATGGTAGTATGATAATTTTAGGAAATGTTCTATCAGGTGTTCATGTGCTTAAAATTTCTGCTTAGTGATTTCAGATAGCTGAATGAAAAGAACCAAACTTCTGTTATCTCTCCTTGTTAGTTGTGAATGAAAGTTGCTTTTATGATTAATGATTAATTAATCTTGGTTGGCTCATTGAAACTTTCTCCTTTGCAATAGACACTGCTATAATGACTCATGTAACTCTAGATGGAGTAGTACTTTCGTATCTTGCCTGTGGTATTAGAAAAAAGTTAAAGTTTCACGTCCAAGATGGAATTGTAAGTATGTACAGTGGTACCTAGGTTCGTGAATTTAATTCTTTCTACCATTCTGGTTGCACACTGAATTGGATGAGAACCAAATCAAATTTTCCCATGAGGTCCATTGAAGCTAACTATGGAATTTGATTCAGTTCTCATCCAAGTCAGTGTGCCACCAGAATGGGGGAAGAAATTAAGTTCATGAACCTAGGCACCACTGTACTTAAAAGTATGTTGGATAATGGAGGAGCAACATACTTTCCTGTCCCCCTTCTGTCTCTCTTAGAAGTTAACTTTTTCTCAATAAATTTTTGCTACTCTTTAAAAAAAAAACAATGTTGGATAATGGAAAATGACTTATAATCATGAGTAGCAGAGAACATTGATTCTTTGTCCTGAATACTAATGCCCATGAATTGCTTATTTGATTGTTTTATCAAGAAATAAATTTGCATTATTTTATAGAAATAAAGTTATCTCAACTTTTGATACTAAGAATAAGATACTTAGCATAAATTTATAACTTTAAAAAATTGAGGCAAAAAGTGTAGTGTGCATAAGCAACATTTTCAAACTTGAAAGAATTTTCCCTTTTTAGATTAAACATGACTGTTTCTCTTTAATTATATTCATGAGATGATATATTTTAAATGAAAGCTGCTTTTACTGACATTCTGTTTTTTCTACCAGTAGTTATAATTTTTTGTGTGTGTGCAAGACTAAATTATTTTCTTTTTTTTAAAATTAATTTTATTGGTACATTTTAGGTATACAGTATAATGACATTCATCATTGGAAATTTGCACCTTTACATAATTCATCTTGGTTCTTATTTTTTCCCCATTCCCCTGCCCTTCAACCCCTCCATTCCTCCCTATCTACAAAGACTTTCCATTTTTTTCTTTTTCGCACATTAATTCCATTCCCTTCTTTCTTTACCCCTACCCCTCTGCACTTCCCCTTCCCCTTTGCACCTTTTCTTCCTATTTCACATTATCTGTTATACCTTTTAGTCCTTATTTACACTTTCAGTTTCTCACACTAGAGAAACTATTGGGTATTTACACATGTGTGTCCAATTTATTTCACTTAAGAGTATCGCCTCAGTGTGCATCCATTTAGCTATAAATGTCTAGTTTCTCATTGTTTATGGCTGAGTAATACTCCATTTTATTAAAAAACCACATTTTCTTTATCCAGTCTCCAGTTGATGGGCAATTGGCTTGTTTCTGAGTCTTAACTATCACAAACTGTGCTGCTGTGAACGTGGGTGCACATATATCACTGTGGTATGATTCTTTTAATTCTTTGAGGAAGATCCCCAACAGTGGAATAGCTGGGTCAAATGGGACTTCCAATCCTAGTTCTTTGAGGTATCTCCATACTGATTTCCACAGTGGTTGCACCAGTCTACACTCCCACCAGCAGTGGAGCAGTGTTCCTCTTTCCCCACAGCCCCACCAGCATTTGTTATTGGTTGACTTTATGATAGCAGCCATTCTTTTTGGGGTGAGGAGGAATCTCAGCGTTGTTTTCATTTGTATCTCTCGAATAACCAGTGATGTTGAACATTTTTTCATATGTTTATTTGCTATTTTTACTTCTTTGTCTGAGAAATGTTTGTTCATTTCAGATGCCCATTTTTGGATTGGGTCTTTAAATTTGGGAGGTCTGATTTTTTTTTTAAGTTCTTTATAGATTCTAGATAGTAGACCTTTGTCTGAGGAACAGCAGGTGAAAATTTTTTCCCACATTGTGGGTTGTCTCTTCACATTGTTGGTAGTTCCTCTTGCTGTGCAGAAGCTTTTTAGTAAGAAGAGATCCCACTTGTTGATTCTTTGTGCTAGTTCATGAGCAACTGAGGTTTTGTTCATAAAATCTTTTTCTACACCAATGGCTTCAAGAGTTCTACCTAACCTCTCTTCCAGCTGGTTTAGTGTTTCTGTTTTAATATTTAGATCTTTAATCCATTTTGATTTTAGTTTAGTGCATGGTGAGAGATACAGGTCTAGTTTTAATCTTGGGCAAGTTGAAACCCAATTTTTTCAGCACCATTTATTAAAGAGGCTATCTTTCCTCCAGTGAGGGTATTTGGCTCCCTTGTCAAAGATGAGGTGTCTGAGTGTGTCTGGGGCTGTTTCTGCATCATCTAATCTGTTCCACTAGTCCTCAGGTCTGTTTCTTTGCCAGTTCCATGCTGTTTTTATCACAGTAGCTTTGTAGTATAGTTTGAAGTTGGGAATTGTGATACCCCCTACCTCAGTAGTTATAATTTTCTTTTCCATAAGTCACTTTCTTGATCCTTTTTTACTTTTAATAATAGACTAGGGTCTGACAGGGGGCAGTAGTAAGTTTTGAAGATTCTTCACTAATGATCTCAGGGCCTAAAAAAGAATTGAGAGAACCCTTTAAAGGCAGTATTAGCTCAGATGGAAGAGAGCTAATTAAGGTGTGAATATTTATCTTCTATGAAAATCATTCTACATTGGGTGCAATGGTGGTACATGCCTGAGAGGTGGGGGATATTGACTGTTTCGAGGCCATTCTCTGGGCAACTTCACAGTACTCCACCTCAAAATTTCTTTAAAAAAAATTTTTTTAAGTAGCTCAGTGGTAGTGCACTTTTCTAACACGCAGAAAGCCCTGGACTCAATCTCCATCAATAACACCATCACCAAAATACTCCATTTCCTGATTCTGTTTTTCATGCTTAGTGCTACTTTGAATGAAATAAAAGTAGAAAGTGGGCATTGCATGTATAGTAAGGGTTAAGTGCTATTTTACGTAATTTACGTTTTCTGTGTGTGATATAAAATACATTACTTTTGTTTTTTTGGGTTTTTTTGGTACCACGGATTGAACTCAGGTCCTTTTGCTTGCAAGGCAGGTGGTGAAACCACTGAGCTAAACCCCCAGCCCCTAAAATACATTTCTTAATTGATTCATGATCCAAAAAGTGGCTAAAGAAAGCCTAGAACCTAATATAATATTTAGCATTTCTTTTAGAAAATATTTTTTTCTTGATACGTTTTGAAAAGTATAATTTAAATATATGAATCTTATATAAGAAGAAATTTGTCATTTATGGCACAGGCCCTGTTTTTGAGAAAGTCATTAATAAATTAGCACCTTAGACTTAAATATTAACACAGTGTAGAGCATCGAACAGACATATATTTGGGGTAGTTCAGTATAAAAGTGAACAAACTGTTTACAAGTCTAGCATTTAAATACAAATTGATTAGAGAAAGAAATGCAATTTGAGGGATCCCTAGATAGTCTTGAATTGATGGAAATCTCAAAGCTGTGTTTACTATAGAATAACGACTAGGAATACCCTATATTAATAAAATACTTCTTGTATTTATATCCCCACTGGGTAACAGATTGAGTCATAAAACACCTGTAGTCTGTGTTCCCTTATCACCTCTAATAGTGAAAATCTCTTCAACCTGAAGAATAGAATGATAAGGAAGGCACAGCAACTGAGGGGGTTTTTTGGTCACTAGTACATGCTGCACTTTTTTTGTTACTCAGCTAAATCACACGGGCATTTGAGGGAAGTGAAGCTATTCTGTATTTGATCAGTAGAAAATACAGCAAGAAAATAGTCTTTATTGGAGAGTTAAGAAAAGTGTGTGTTTGCATATGATCCACCATAAATTGTTACCTGAAACTTTCACTTTCAATTTTAAATTATTTATTGGTAAATTACACTTTTAAGCTTATTTTGACCATGCTTAATACAAATTAGTAACAAGATCAGTTTATCGTTTGTTATGAACTTTATCCAGGAGATGGTAGAAAACATTGAGATTCTATTTTCTTAACAAAACTCAATTTTTAAAACTTAATTTTTTGGCAAAATGGTTTTCTCAGTCTAGTCTTTGTTGCAAACAGATCTGTAAAGATAAAACAAATCGCTATGTATTATGTATATCAGATGTAAGTGAATAGATTTTTAAATGTTGATAAAAATAAATTACAGCAAATAGATTGCTAGAAAACCTTATCCCATGTTCTTTAGTACTTTCAATTGGTACCAATTGGTCTTTATTTCAGAATAAATAGTTGACTCATAGAGAAGGCTCAGTAAATACTGGTAAAAGAAAGGAAAGACAGCTAGAATTACTTGTTTTCAAATTATTATGTACAACTCCTAATTATTTTTTTTGGTACCAGGGATCGAACTTGGGACCTTGCGCTTCCAAGGCAGGCGGGTGGAACTCCTAATTATTTTTAACTACTGAGATAATTTTCTGACCTTTTAAACTAATTCTTTGATTACATTAATGTGGTTGGCTTGATTTATGTTTACAATGATAATTTACTAGTGAATAAGCAAATCTGAATAATTAAATGAATACTAAATTCTTTTGTTTCTTAAAAAATAAATAAGTTCCCACCAACAATGGAGAAAGGTTCCTTTCTCCCCACAGCCCCACCAGCATTTGTTATTGGTTGATTTCTTTTTTGTTTTTTGGTTGGTTGGTTGATTTCTTGATAGCAGCCATTCTTTCTGGGGTGAGGTGGAATCTCAGTGTTGTTTTCATCTGTATCTCTCAAAATCAGACTGGTGCAACCACTGTGGAAATCAGTATGGAGATATCTCAAAGAACTAGGACTAGAGGTCCCATTTG